TCGCCTCATGGCCTCCCATTGAAGCCGCCTGAAGCGTGTTGCCGTAGTATCCACCCTGAGTGTTGACCTCGGCGCCCTTGTCAATTAGTAGTTCTGCTGTTATACAATGTCCGTTTGCTGCTGCGAGGTAAAGTAAAGTGTGACCTCCACTATCCTTCTTTGTTAAATTAGCTTCTCTCTCTTGTCCTTCAAGTAAGAGCAGAGCCTCTAGGATACGTGATAATCCAAACCGCGCTGCAAGATGTGCTCCTGTGCTGGCCTTGGGATATTCCTGGCTATGACCGCTGTATGTATACGTTGGAACCAAGAGCACCTGCGTAGCGCTCGAAACTAAGCAGCTATTAGAAAGGAAAGAATAGGCTAGCTCGCACGTGTCGCTCTCCACCTTCGCAACATGCTCACCCCAATGTTTCGCTGCATAGTCTAAGAACTTGCTTTGTTGAAGCCGCTCTTTGAAATCCTTGTCTGAGGAGCAGCTTCCTGTCTTGAAAAGATCGAACGATAGATAGGTGAGGCATGTTGAGGCTATCTGCACCCGAGCATCGGGATTCCACATGTCTCTAACACGCTCAAAATACTCTTGCGTAGTATAATGCACGAGCCGGATAACAGCACTTTCCCGATCCACGACGACAAGGCCAGCACACACGGATACCAGATCTTCGAAGTCAGGTAGGTTGTCGGAATCGAGCTCCGGTTCCTTAGGCTCCACCGCTAGGGCACAGCATAACTCAGCTGTAGTAAGTGGCCTCTTTGCGTACGTAATCCACGACAGGACCTTTTGGGCCAGTTCGCGGTGGCCGTCCAACTGGCTCTCAATTCTCTGCAAAGCGTCTTTGTATGCATCGTCAAGCGCAGCTGAGCCTTTCGAGAGGTTAGCTAGCGTTGTCTTGATTTTTTTTGGGGTCGTCTTGTCTGACAAAGAATCGATGTGTAGGCGAGCTAAAAGAAACCTAGGAACTCATTAGCCTATAGCACGTCGCAGGGCGGACACATGACTTACATGCCGTCTACTCTCTCTGGAATCTCCTCTTCCACCATTTTCTGCAGCGTACGGTCACGTTGAATGCATTTAGGCAGTCGGTACATCTGGCCAACCACAAATCGCCTTACATCTTCATTGCTAGCCCGAACTTCAAGCCTCTCTGTCTGTTTAAATTCGACTTCGATCTCTGGTATGAACCGCGAGGTAGCCAGAAGGCGGACATCATGTCCCGCTTGCAAGCTTCGGAGTTTGGCCAGAAATAGGTGATGATTACCGTCGTTGCCTCGACACTCATCTAGAGCATCGACCACAATATAGACAGTAGAATACTTTGCGACTATTTCTCTGAGGGCGCCAAAGATCTCCTCAGGTGATGGCTTCGTACCTCGGTTCGTATGCTGCTTGTGTAGTCGTTCTACAGGCTCTACCATCGACGGTCGACCCTGCAATAGCTGCTTAGCGATAGCTGCTAGCATACTAGAGGCATCCTGCTCTGCTTGTACTTTATAGTTGCAGTACACATACGCAACTCCGACCGAACTACTCTGCGCAGAATTTAGGAGGTGGTCAATCGCGATCGCTGCCACCATTGTCTTGCCGGCGCCAGGGATCCCTGGGCAGAAGAGAGCCCCCCTCGGGACACCGATCCACCTTGTGAACTCGGGTGCGTCGAGAAACCACTGGCCCGTTCCCTCCTGTCTGCGACCTATGATGTCGGATTGCTGGGCGGGGTATTCAGTAGGCGAGATCCATTCTACCATCTTGATGTGCTTTGCGTCGACTTGTTCTTGCTGGATCTTGTCTACTCCAGCATGTATTGCGGGCACGTGTAATCGAAGGATATTGGTATCATCTTTAATAGCTTGGGACAATTTACTCCTAAAGGTAAGCGATATAACTTTATAGTGCTACATGAAGGCTTACAAGTGGTCCATCTGTAACGCAATCCCCACAAGCGCTTTTAAACGCTCAATTCGGACTAATATACCAGCGATTTCTTCCTTCTTGAACTTCCATACTAGCGCTTTACCTGCCTGTTGTAATTGACCTCCACCTATCATCTGAATCTGGAGTGCTTCCAGCGCTTGCTTGAACTGGTCAAGCGGTCCATTCTCGACTCCCAGGGCTCGGACAGCGGTGTACCACTGTGGATCGGCACTTCCCTCTTCAAGACGAAACCTCAGATTAAGAAGGAGACTATGTAAGTTTGAGGCCTCAACCGCGCACTTTGCACGATCTTTCGAAGCATCTTTGACGTCGTTGAGATATCCAAGGACCTTGCCCGAGAGCTGGAGAACTGAGATGATGCTGGCTGCGACGCTGAGCGGATCCATACCCAGAAAAGATCGACGGACGAAGCAAGTGCGTATAGGGTAGCTGATGGAGAAGTAGGTGGCATCGTGTAGGCGGTAATATCGTAAGCGCCCAGGTTGAGGGGGTGCCGCTGCAAGGCTGAACAGCTGCATGCGATGCGCGCTGTGCTGCGCCGCATCTTATCGATATGACCCATTAGGTCCAACCACGCAGCACCAGAGGCCTCTTCCATCTCGCATCAAAGGGCACAAAAACAACTTCTCTTGTGGGGCAAGTTTTACGTCGTGTCTCATAAATGTGGCGGGCATCGACTGGCGATACCTAGTGGCAGGTGTTTCTTAAGTTGCTCTAGTCACGTGTGTCAAAGACAGGTATGTCTGCCTGCATAGCTATAATCGCTGATTTCCCTCCTATCTATATAAAACACCCTGAAGCATTTAGCTGTACCACTGCGTGATATCAATCAATGACTTCGCGTTCCCGATCACTCAAAACGTGGATAAGTGGTCACATGATAGCTATTTTTAGCAAACTTGTTCCCAGGTGTCGTGCCAGGTGTCGTGCCAGCTGCCGTACCATACCCGTCATACAGATCATGATCGCGCGAAGCAAGCAGCCCTGCGCCACGACCGCAACCAGGGAGGCAGCCCTCGCCCTTCAATGCGATACATTATTGAAGTGAGTTAAGTGTAAACGCAAGGTTCGCCCCCAGCCACAATTTCTACGACATTTGTGAGGAAGGCATCTGTGCAACTATAGGATCCAGATCTAACTGAAGTATACATACCGATTGGTTTGGATCTAATAGGATGGTGGGTCGGAGAGTGGTGCTGCTTGAAGAATTTTGTGGTTCTGCGTGGTGGGATATTCTAAACGTAGGGAGGGAGGTTAGGCTAGGGAGGTGAAACGGGTCTCAATCGCTCTGCACATCGGGTACCTCATCCTCAGAATGAACCAAGGTAAATCGGATTGTTACTCCGAGGCTAAAATGTCGTCTCCAAGACGTAGGACAATTCCAGTAGCAGGACGCACTACGACGCTCAGCGCCATAGTATGGCATTATCAGTGGAGAGTAGGTGGATTTCGCCGAGGAGACGCTGTCGGGTAGCTTGCGTCCGCCTTGGATGCGCAGTCACTATTTGCGTCTTGATATGACTTGTACTGCACCTGGTGATAAATGGCCGCGCAGATACATCATACAGTCCACCATTACACGTCACTTCATCAGTGGATTTGCGAGGGCGATAGATTCGTGCGGGAGCTGCGGAAGTAATCAACCTGAACTTGAGCGTGGATGGGCACTCGAAAAGCAAATAATTATACTGCTGGAGGCCGCTACAAACATGAGCGTTTACAGAAGATGGGACAGTGCAAGACCATGAAGATATATCGGGGTATCAGTCTTGGGTATCTGGTCGCGATGCTAATTCTAAACTACAAAGCCTGCTTAGTTATTCAATACATCCTATGACGTCTACCGCGGCACGAATAGCCAATCAGATCCGTTCAAACGCCTCGCTAAATGCATCCCAGAAGTGCCTTCCCACAACCCTCTAGACGCTCTCCGCATACCCCGCCTCCTTCCCCGGCCCCGCCCCCACCTCTCTCTTCTTGAACATCTTGTCGCCCAACTTGTCCGTCACCGCATCCGCCTTGTCCCCCAGAAACGTCTTCACCGCCCCATACACCCCGCTCACCAGCCACAGCACCGCATTCAACAGATCAATCCAGACGGCGGCCTTCATCGGCGCGGGCTTGGCGCCCTTAAACACGTCGCCGTTGTCCCTGTGCAGAAAGATGCCGGCAAAGACGCCGAATGCGACGAGCCAGCACACAAACAGGGCTAGATCCCAGGCGAAGGCGCGGTACGTCTTGACCAGCTTCATCTTGCCGCCGATGAAGGGGATGGCGGCGAGCGGCGTCGCGAGCGCGAACAAGACGGCCGTCGCCGCGCTCAGGCTGGAAATGGTAATGGCAAAGAGCCACACGGCGGCGCCCTCGTTGCTGTTAGCACCGACATAGAAGCCGCACGCTATCAGCGCGAACAGGAACTGCAGCCCGCGACACACCAGCCGCGGGACCACCTCGAACGTCTTGAGCCACGTCTTGGCAACCGTCTTGCCCGTATCGGCGCCCTGCGTGTACGCCGTGTGCCCGGCGGCGCGGCCGACGTCGCGCGCGTCCATGCCGCGGAGCTCGGTGGCTGTCGCGTGGAGGTTTTTCGAGGTTGCGTGGAGGTCTTGCGCGGTGCGGGCATGCTGGGCGGCGGTCTGGCCGAGCTTGATGGCGGTGCCGAGTTTGCCCATTTTCGAGGTCGAGTGGCTGGCGGGTACGGAAGTTGGAGTTGCAGGCTCAGATGTGTGGTCGTGGAGGTGGCGATCAGGGGTATCGCTATCGCTATCGATATGCTGGATGGATGCAAGGGCAACCGGTGCCGCGCTATGTAAGATATGCAAAAGAGAAGGAAAAAGACAGAAGGAGATTCGTGAGTCAAACTGAATGAGCGTTGTGTTTCTTCAAGAGAAGAGGCCAGGCAAGGACGTCGCGGCCGCCGCTCTCATATACCAGTCACGCATCAAAGCCGACGTTGTGAAGGCCAGCAGTGACTGAGAATAGAAACGCGCAACCGCGAACAAAGAGCACGAGAGCCCCGCAGCCAGTCACGACGTGTTGGCGGCGGCTCAAAGCGCGGGCGTGTCGGCGCATGGCTGCCAACCAGCGCGACAAGCCGTCGCGATATGGGCGCTTTGCGAAACGCGGGGGGACGGTCGCCGCTACCTACCGTGCGCCAATCGCTGCCCTCGCACGCCGCTCCTCCAGCGAGCGGCCTCACCAGGACCGTCCAACGGCCACCAGAGCCGCCAGCACACGCACGGTCGGCGCGCGATGAAACGGCATTCCTCGCCGCTCCAAGGTTCCGGTGTATTCATTCGCCTCTTTGTACCGGCTGAGCGTGACTCGTCGTGAGTCGATTGGGGGTACCTCGGTCTTTTCCAAACCGGGAATAGCGCACCACTCGCGCACCCAGGACGGTTAGACCTCCGGGCGGCAGCGCAACCGCAGCCACCATCAACACGGCTTCGGTCCTGCCGCACGCACCAACCCCAAACTCCGATACAATCCAAATGCAGATGCGATGCGAGTACTGAGGCATATCATGACCGTCCATGAAGTCACTTCGCTTGTCCGTCGGCCTCTTGGCAGATGTACTGGAGCGTGAGGTGTGTCGTACCTATCTAGTATATACTTGGGATGATTAGTGAGGTATAATTAAACAGGTAGAATCTACAGTCAGGCCAGAGGTAGTCTATACCAAGGCGGAGTGCGTGCGTCCCTCGTACTCGAATATTGGAAGAAGGGCGGTTTCAGAGTTTGACATAAACAAAGTAAAGTATATCCTGCACAGATATCTCTTGAGCCATCTATAATCACGCTACGTTATCTACAGTTTCGCCTGGCCTTCTCTCTTCAACAGCGCATGATACTGGTCACGCATCTCCCTTCGCAGCATCTTTCCGGATGGTGTTCTTGGAATCTGATCTTGTCAGCATCATCCTCGCTCCTCGGGGGTGTACATACCGAATCCACCATCTCGATGCCGCCAGTAAGCCATTTGTGCTTACTCAGCCTGTTCTTTACCCATGCATCCAGCTTGCTCGCAACGTCTTCTTTACGGAAACTCCTCCCATTGTCCGTGAGAACGACCCACGCCCGGACAAATAGGCTCCCGTCTCCCCTGCCGTTGTCCACGCCGGCAACACACGCATCTCTTACCAGGTTCTCAGGGTGCTCAAGAAGCGTGTCCTCAACTTCGGTCGCTGCAACCTGCAACCCCTTGACCTTGATCATCTCCTTAAGCCGATCGAGATAGTGGATCCTGTCGAACTCGTCACGCATTACCAGGTCACCTGTTCGCAACCACCCGGGCTCTGTGAAGATGTCGGACGTAGCCTTTGCGTCCTTGAAGTAACCCGGCGTCACGACTGCGCCGCGCGCCCACAGCTCGCCCTTCTCGCCCTTCTTTACATCTTGCAGTGTGTCTGGGTCCACGACCCTGCCCTCCATCCCGGGTAACAGATACCCTATGGACCCTGGCATGGCGGTCTCCAGACCAAAAATGCCAGGCGTGGCAGGCGACGCGATGGATGCTGCTTCGCTCAGCCCGTAGCCCGAGGGGATCGGCATATCCTTTCCCTGCGGGAGTTTCTGAGCAAGCTGGTACGCGACGTCTGGCGGGAGATAGGCCGCACCGCTGACGGCGCCAATGACGCTGCTGAGATCATACTTCTCTGTGAGCGGCGACTGCGCGAGCTGCCGGATCAGAGGCGGCACCAGCGGCAGCGCTGTGATTTTGAACTTCTGGATCGCCTGCAGGGCTTGCTCAAGATCCCACTTGGGCAGCAGGATTGTCGTGTTACGCACCAGGTTCACGCGCAGGTGCCACAGAATCATGCCGTACGAGTGGTACATCGGGATCACGCCAAGGGTGATGCCGGGCGTCGCGAACGGCTCCACGCCCATGAAGCGCGCACCCTGCACGGCTGTCGTGAGCGTCTGGATGCCAGAGTGATAGCCGTTGCGGTGCGTGATCATCATCGCCTTGGGCAGTCCGCTCGTCCCGCTGCTCTGGAACAGATAGGCTAGGTCGTCTCCGCCGCGCATCGCCCACGCCCGCTCCGGAAGCCGCATGCCCTCGCGCACCAAGCTCTCCACTGTGCGATGCCCGCCCACGCGCTCCATCGACCCATCTTCACTCAGCACAACGACCTTTGTCACGTCCAGCACCAGCTTCAGCGGCATGTCGTCTCCGGCTCCCGTTCCAAGCCCGATTGCTTTCCCCAACACCCCAAGCAGTGACTCGTGCACCATGATCGATGTGACCTGCATCTTCCTCAGCACCCACCACAGCTCGTGCGGTGTGCTCGCCGGACTGATGCCCCCAAAAACCACGCCCGCGCGCCAGCACGCGTGCACTACCATCGGGTAGTGGATCTGGTTACGGGAGAAGAGGCCCAGGATTTCGCCGTCGTGTTTGTCGTCGGTTGGACTTGGGCCCAGGGAGAGCGGGTTCGGGCCATCGTGCCGCAGCACCCGCGCGAGTGCGCATGTGCGCGTGTAGAACTGGTGCAGGGAGACGGACTGCTGCGTGATGGCGTTGATGAAGAGAGGGTAGTCCTCGGGCAGCGGGGACCTGGGTGGGAAGCAGAGCTCGTGGATGTTGAGGTTGTCTGGGCTAGGCGGGAAGGGGCCGAACGGCGAGGCGAAAATGGGGTTGGCGTGGGGCTGATACTTTTCATGTGGTGAGGGCGGATTGGGGCCGATGAAGCGGGACCAGTGGCGTTGGAGGAGGTGGTGGGGCATGCTTGTGTTTGGTGGGGTGGGGGCGATAACGAGGTGGTCGCAAGGCGCGTGCGTGGCGATAGGAGCTGCGCATCGACACTGTGTGTCTAAGCAATTTGGCGGATTCGATGAATCGCGGATTGCTGCGACAGTCTGATGGGCTGAACACTCTGTTGGTCGATGTGTTGAAGTCGTCGGTTGTTCCGAGGTACGCGAGGCGCAGAAACCCCGCATTATTCTAACTTGAAATCTAGACATCGCGCTTGCGAGTCATTTGGCGCATGTGTATGCGCGTCATTCCTCTAGGTGCTGCGCATCGTCCAAGCGTGCGCGACTAGAGCAGCGCCAGATATACTGTTGGGCATGTCTGGCTAGCGTTGGTGGCTTCGGACCTGCATGGGAGGTATCATCGTTCATTGCACGTACCGCTGCCTGAGGAGGATGCGCAGGTCCACGGCCATATATGACCAGGGGCGAGTCGCGACAACATTCGTCGCGCACAGGTTGCGCGGGCCTTCGTAAGTGAATACTCGTGCATGGGATCGACTGCGCTGCGTGGCGACGCTGAGCTGCAGCCCTCATAGATACGAGGAGTTACTCTTCTTCGTTGAGAAAAGGCATGTCCTGGGTCAACGTTGCTGCGTTACCCAAATCCAAGTAGAGAGTAAGAGAATAAGGACTGGGTCAGGATCGTGGGCAGACGTGAAGATGGCGTTTGAAAAAATCTCTGAGACCGGACCGTTCACGTGTCGTCATGCAGTTGTAGGAATCTCGATGCAGCGATGACATCATGGCTCATGAGGTCGAAGCATGGCTAATGAGGTCGAAGAAGGCGGAGGGACCGAGTCGTTCGCCGGTATAGCTTGAAACCTAGCAGACTTCAATGCTGGGCAAGTTTTGGAGGTTGTGTCGGATGTCAAAGGGGCATGAGCTGCTGGATTAGAAGACCGAACGGTATTCGAGCCGGCAATGGGAGTGACACCGTCAGTGGCGGCATGTGAGCGTGCTATTGAAGTGGCAGAGGGCGCAGCATTGTTCCATGGTCGGCTCTCGGGTCGAAGAGTAGACTGGGAGGACTTCCCAACTGACGCTTTCCGAGACAAGGACGTCCAGTCCGTCAATAGCAATAGAGAAGGCACAGTCCCGTTATTGTCCAAAAATCAGGCCGATCGAGCACCAGGTGGAAACGTGTTGAGCTGCGACGATGTCTTTTTCGACCGCATCTGGGGATTGTACCCGCAAGTTGAAGGAGAGCTGTCCTCGTCAGGCATAGGAGAGCCTTGATAGGAATTTGGGATCCCACGGATAGGTGCTGACATTCGTGGGAAGACGAAATACGGCGGCTCTGGGATCGTTTCTGGGATCCAGCAATCTCCTCGCACCTGGAACCCACCAATTCCGGTCGCAAGGTTAGTCGAGTCAGGTGAGATAAGTTTTTCCTCCATCCAAGTCTGTCGCTGGCATGGCTCAGCTGCATGTTCAGGTTGATACAAGGCGTTGATACAAGGCTGTGGATAGGGCTGGATAACAGTACGGACGACCCTGTCCCAGATCCACCGTGTGTTCTGTTGGGGCAAGGTGTTGGAGATGCGGCGCGTGGCTAGCTCCAACGTTGACGCTAGCCACCTCATCTGTGCCAGACCCGCTATCCCCGCTCCGATGGCCTGGCGGGAAATAATTGAGCCCCCGGACTTCTTCGTCATGAGACGATGTGAAAGGAGCCATGGTGACGAAGATTGGTCGCTTGCGAATTTCTCGGCGTGGAATCATGTTGCGAGGGTGCGCGAAAGAAACCGTGGTGAATACGGGCCTGTAATGGAGACCAGTTGAGACAGTCCGCCGTTGTCTGCTCCAGACCAGGATTATTTGCCGTAGGTGTATCTATTGGTTTCGCGCGGGTCAAATCTTGTGCACGGTGTAAGTGTATGGCGAGCTGCGGTTTGAGACGAGCCGGCACGGCTGACGAGGGCGTAGGGTGATTTTATCGTGGAGTACAGTGCGAGGGTGATAGGAACCGGCAATGGCGCAAGCGACATAAAAAAAATAGCTGATCTATCACGTGTATTTGGTCTGTGTCAGGTTATATGAGAGAAGCTGGTGTCCTTTGTGAATTTTGCCAGCCCTTTGGATAGCTTCACAACGAGTCAATATTGTGAATTAGAAAATAGTATATTGCCCTTGCGGAACGACCCGGGCGAAATTAGTTCGCGAAACTCTAGAAATTCTGCGATATTGCGCGACTGGCTCCGCTTAACTCACACACTGGATAGTTTGGAGATGGTAGAAGATATAAGGAAATGGCGCAGTGAATTACAAGCCTACAGGCTTCCAGTTTAAGGCACGAACTCTGGCGCAACAAGGATCCGTATCGCCAGCCTCAACCGAGAGTTCAACATCACAACTCATATGAGCCAGCTCCGAGGAACTAGCATCGATATGGACTGAGAGTAAACGCCCTTGCAAAGATATTGTTTCTTTCTCCGCGGCTACTGCAGCTGCAAACACTGACTATTAATTTAGACACTGATAGAACTCGGGACCGAAATGCATGTCCTGCCACCCATCCAGCTTTGCCCGTCATTGAGCTTTGTGCGAGGATGCCCGACTGTAAGCCAAGCGTGCCGCTCCACCTATGCGGTCCGGAGTATACTCCGCAGGGGAACAACATCACAGATGGGATACTCTGCCGATAGCGCAGTGCTGCTCTAACGGTCTCGCAAGAACACAACTGCTGAAATTTCTACTACTCTTTGCCATCCCATTGCGCCAAGATGTGTTGTTACGATATGCATTCATCGCACAACACTTTATACTCACAAGAGCTCCATCTCCACACTATTCGAGTGGCGAGAATTAAGCCTCTGGGCGAAATATCCTGAAAAGGCGTAGTCGCGGTGTTGGCTTATGTCCTGAGGTTGGCGCACTTAGCATGGTGCATCGTGGGCCGGCCAGTGGCAGGGCTGACTTAGTTGGAGTTGGACCGCGAACTTGTACACCCGTACAGTATTCAGGAATCTTCTCAAAACACTTGTACTACACAATTCGTGATGCACTCACATATAAAACAGAGTACGGTTGACTTGGCATTGAAAAGGCGATTTCTGCCGTTCGTGCAGATCATTCCTACACAAACTCTCATGCGCTGAAGTCCTGCAGTATAGTCTGACCAGAGGAGGTTGCGACGCGATGTGCTGGCGTACACAGTGCATTCCATTCTTCGATTTGACCGGTATGGATCCAAGACATTCTTTTTGCAGTGATGGGAATCGTATGCGACAAGAGGCGAATGGGAAAGAATGTATCGAATGAAACCATCGCTTCGTGCGCAGGCACCCAGGAGACATAAAAAAAATGCGAGCCGACGGATAACTGCGCTATGTCGTTAGATTGGCTATTCGAGACGGCTTGTCACTTCGCTGTCGTCAAGCCAACATCTCCACAATCTTGCACTGAGGGTTGCGGGACGATGGATGATGGCATTCTAGAAATTGATGAAATGGCGACATATCCTCGGAGCTTGAAGCAATAAAGAAGGGATGGATGGCAGGCAATGTGACCGCACGCATGTTGTGAGAAGCGTTGTTTCTTCGCAAACTCCCGGATCCTCACTGAGTAGGCATGGGATCTACGTGCGACAACACATGCAGCCCAAGGCTCCAATGGCCGGACAGTGCGCAGTAGACTGAAAAATTTAAACTCATACCAAAACAACAGCGGACCGCGTCTGCTCTGGCATAGCTGCTCAAATCTCACTCGCGTCTTCGTAGACATCCGACTCCTGGAAGTTTTCCTCGGACAGTCTTGCGCCTATCGCATTCCTGCATTCCTTCTCGGCAGTCAAGTGCGCCAAAAAAAACCCCATTTGCGGTCGTATCTGCGCTGCGACTGGAAGGATTACAAGTGAGTGTGGCGAGCGGTTTGATCTCTAGAGCGAAAGTCTGTAGAGTTGCCTTTGGCGTCGCGGCGCGAGCCTGTTCAGATGACGCGGTCAGACTGCGAGAGAATTCTGCATTGAGTGAGCATGTGTTATGTGAGTGTATTTGGAGTAACATACTCGTCTTCTTGCCTGGCGTCGCGGCAGTACTGCTGCCCACAGCGTCATCCGCATGTCGCTGCCATCCGAACCAAAGCCGGCAACAGAGCCCTTGCGGCTCTGTCAAGGCGTGGAGTTCCCAGTTGATCGCAGACAGGCGATTCGAGGCACTATCACAAAACGAAATGTGGAACCATCTCGACAAGAACCGGAAACCCAAGCTAGATCATGTATGGCGCCCGACGGTCCACCGCGGGACCCAACGGAAATTCTATAAATCTTCGCGCAGCAGCCAATCAGCATGCACCCATAGCAATCTGGGCTTGTTGGACAACGTTCATCAGCCGTTCATACAGATCTATCATATTATCTCAAACCCGAGCCGGTTTCTCCCTCTGCTTGTTATTCTGTGTTCGGGTCCATTTGAACACCCAAATACTGGTGCCTGCGGTGGACGTGTTTGAGTGGCATTTACTCATCTGGAAATACAGAGAGTAGACTCCAATGTGCCTTCATCCAAGTGCATATATTCGTAAGCGAATGGATGGTTCGGAAACTCCTGGGTTATCAATCCCTAGATGGGAGTAGATGTGTCTCTGATCACTGGTAGTGACCGCATCCAGCCAGACCTCTATCAATCACTGTCGCTATCCAGTCGCGGTGGTGGTGCGATCGCCATTGCTTCTCTGTACGTCGGCAGCCCATCGCCCTCCGAGGACACAGCAGGCAGTCTAGGCGGATACAAATGTAGATCGATATAACCTCCACGTACTTTGACGTCGAATTTCTCATTGGCGCACTTTAGGATACCGGTGATCTTGAGATAGTAACTCCTGCTGATGTTATATGTGTTGAAGGTTGGATGTAGGGTCCTCGGGAGTGTCGCGTCGAAGGTCTGCTGCCAATTTTCGCTTTCCAAGAATGGGCCATCATTGGTCCAAGTCCTCGTCCAACACGTGCTCTGCTGGACGTGGTTATGCGGGTGGAAAGTTCCGTCCGCTTGGAGGGATGTGCGACTTTTCAACACGACAGATAGAGTCGCTAGCGTCACCTGCGGCGGTCGAATGACCGTAGATTCTTCCGACAAGTGCGCTATGGTTGTAAAAATGCGCAATTTGTGCCCTACTAGAAGACAAGTTGGAAACGAGACGTTGAACTGGAATGCCGAGCATGGTAACTTGCTGCTCTGGAACACTGACTTGACTTTCTCTCTCCGCGTTAGACATCGACCCTCGTTCTCTGGCAGCAATAGAAGACTCCGAGCCATGAACTTCTGGTTCCAAAGTTTGTCCATCTGCGGTGGGAGCTCCTGGTGGTGTGGAAAATTCGGCACGTATTTCACAACCTTCTCTCTCTTGTGAAGGACGACTCTCGACTGATGCTTGAAAATGATTGCAGCGATCATGTACTCCACGAAACATTTGGCATTGACCGAGAAACTAATATCGTCGGCCCGGAAAGTTGGTGGCGTACTGCCGTCGACGCTCGCCGCCCGTATGTCAGGTGGTGGCAAGAAGGTAGGAAAGGCGATGGTGAACGGCCAGATATACTTCTGGCCTGGCTCCAATGGGGTGGATTCGGCATTTATAACAGTCTTTTGAATAAACAAGAAGTGGCGGCCTCGATACGTCGCGTTTCTGTTATTCTTCTCGACGATCTTGGTCTTGGTACGACCAGAGAGGACCATGCGGATCGAACCAATCAGCTCTGGTTTGGCATTACGCAGGACAACATTGCCGTTGATTGTATTCTCGACATTGAAAATAGTGCCACCTTCAGCTAGTTCAATCGTGATTTGCTGTTCCATTTCGCCACGTATGGATCTTCGAGATCTTTGACGCGCTGCTCACGATCAAAGACAGGTGATCAATTTTGAACGACCAAAGCCGAGGAAAGCCTAAAGACACACGTCGATTGCATGCCTGTCGAGGACTCCGGAAATTCGTGGAGTGCGAGTAATTTTAAACGTTCTGTACTGTTGAGACTTCGCGATGAGGTAACAAACTTGGCTTCTTTTGATCCAGTCAAACTGAGTCAGCAGGCCTGCTATAAGCGGCCGTTCGGTGCCGAGGGCAGGATTGATGTTGCTTGGCTGGAATTGCCGACAGCTCCGATTGGTTTAAGCTCCTGTCTATGTGGGTCGTACTGTCAGTATGACCCACACATTTTAGCCCCCACAGCCATAGCCTGCTGGTCTTGTTGCCGATCTTCCGGCATCAGAGCCTTGAAATCTCGGTTCGCACTCTGCCGGTGAGGTAGTCCTCTACACTGAATTGATTGGCGGGCTCCAGGAGGCAATCCAAAGGCCCGTAGATGGTCAGTTCCCCATGTCGCACTGGCCGACTTGGGAATTGACCTACCGGCCAGGAGCTTGAGGAAAGGGAACGCCATGACGGCGTTACTCGGGTCCTGCAGCTTCCTCACCCCCAACTGGACGGGTACTGAAAAATCCGCCCTATACGAAGCGTAGGGCCGATGGATGGGGTAAAAATAGTTCAAAGAAGCCAAAGACTACTCCGGATCAGTACGAGGGCATGATTCGCTTAGAGGCCGAGGATGAGAAGCATATGATCAATGTCTGGTGAAGCTTTGACATTGCACTTTCGGACCCGAATGAAGCTCATATTCTCGGCTCCAACCCCATATCCACTGCTTTCCATACCAGTCAGTGGTGGAAAGATGGAGATCTTCGCCTGGGCAACGACTGGATTGCTCCGGTCTTTGCTCGAGAAAACTGGCTTCTAGAAGGATTTGTAAAGAACCCAAAAATTGGTTGGGGACGCATGGAGTCGGTACTGAGGATGGCATAGCTCTTCATTACGGTATCGCAGGCTGCATGGGCTTATCTGCCACTGGTGTTGGGTGAGCTCCGTGAATGGAGAGGAATAGGAAAGTTCCTCGTCTACGATAGGCATGATGAGATTTCACAGCTAATCGCAGAAGAAGCAGCAATCCTTGCTGACAACCTCGGACTGGTTGGCCAGCGGTTCGCCACACCTGCAGGGAAGGTGAAGTTTGCATTTGGGACTTTTGGCGAGATGCACCATTAGCCAGTTGGCGAGAAGAATTTCGCAATGTCCATCACTGAACATTGGGAGGAAAAGCCGGCACCTCAGGTTCACACTGTTCACCTTGGATAAGTCGATCCTGGTGAGCTCAAAGCGTGCCAGTAGTCTCATAGGATCATCCTCAACGCTACGTACGCAGAGTGGTTATAGTATGACAAGATCAACCTGATCGCCACACAGATTGCCCGCACTCTTCACCTTCTGCATCAATCTCGTGCTGTCGCATGCGCTCTACTACCAGGAAGATAATCCCGATATCTGTAAGTCTGGGGAGTACATCCACTACGATGTGTCGCACATGTTCACTAACACGGATGGACCAGAAATTGGGACCGCGATCGAGAGTAGGCTCTTCGGCCATCCCTGGCAAGCGAGTATGCACCCACAGCGAGGTGCTATGCATGTGCTGTGCACTTAGGATGAGGACCACCGTGGCAAAGCTCACTTCGCTAGTTACATCGAGCCAGCCTGGTGCTACGAGTTCTTGACCAAGGCAAAGTGGGAGCGAATTCGCAGTATTTCGCTAGAGAACAGTATGAATCGCTGCAACTGGCAAGCGATCCGAATGTACGCGGTGCCTGTCTATGCCCTATTCAGTCTACCAGTCCTGCACTTCTCCGTGCCCTGCGTCCACTGTGATCGAACCCACCTACACCAACGACACTCACATTCTATACCCCGCCTCGCCTCGCGCTGCCTCACCCCACCACGATTCTACCCGTCTAGGTACATATTCTCCCTATCATCCCACTCATCCGCCGTCACAAACTCACACAAGCTCCCCGCATCGTCTGCCTCATCCAGCATCTCGTTCTCCACTCTCTCTGCGATGAGCGGATACTGCTTGTCGAAAGACTTTGTGATATCGGGCCCGCCAACACGGCGTCTACGGTTCCCGGCGGTCGTTGAAGGATGCGGCGTCGCCAGGAGGGAGGAGAGTGTGACCTGGGCTATGTCAGCGCGTGTCGCACGTGGACGATTGGCGAGGGCAGAACGTACCATGCCGGACCCAGCTCGATCATCCGCCTCAGCTTTCACCAGAATCTCCTCACCCTCCTCCCCCGCCTCAACCTTGACCACAAAGTCCGGCCTCTGCTGCAGCGGCACCCACCGCCCCTTGTAGTGATACCCCTTGGTCCTAATCTCCTCCGCACGCTTGTCACTCGCCCTCTTCTGCCGCGCGAGCTCCTTCTTCTGCCACGCGAGCTGCTTCTCGTGGCGCTCGACTACGGCGCGTTGCTCGGGGGTCAGGGTGCTAGGATCGGGGAGGAGGGTGTTACGCGTGAGCATGGAGGGCTTCTGTGGGGGGTGGTCAGCTCGATGTGCGTTTGGGGGATGCGAGCGGTGATGCCGGGGGGGTTGCGTACCTTCTTGGGCTTTTGAGCGGGGTGCGACGTGAGATTTTTGGTGGCCCGGAAGGACTGAGGCAGCTCGAGCTGCTGAGTGGCCGGGTTCTTCGTGGTCGCGGACTTCACTGCAGGTTTCCTCGGTGCAGGTTTTTTTGCCGGAGTCCTCTTGGGCACGGCTTTCTTGACGGCGTTCTTCTTCGTTGGGGTCTTCTTCATCACCTTGGCCTGCGACAGCGTCATTGTCTTCGGCACGCTGAGTGTAGCCCTTTTTCCGGTCTGCGCCATCGTGTATGCTGTGCGTGTTGTCAACCACCATGCGAAGATGTTGTAGAAAGGCGTTGGGATCGTGCGAAAGCAGACCGAGAGAGGGGCCTTTGTGGTACAGACAGAAATCTCTTTTGACGCGTGAGGTACGCGCCACGCGTCTGTGTAACCGGGCTGCACGTGGTGAGTGTGAATGTGAACAGAATCATCGTCACACCTGCAAGCCCGACCTGGGTGCAACGCCGGTTTGCGATCCTCCGTGCATGTGATAGCAATTTGAAGAGGCCCAAACGATGATTCACATATATAGATGCGGCGAGTTCACATTTTCACACAATATGTGGGATGCTGGGTATCCGACGAAGTACCGACTTCAGACTCTTGCGACAGGCAAAACATTGTCAGAGCAGACGATTACCTCAATCGCTGTGAGCGAGGTACTGCCTGGAAGTCAGACCCGATTCCCCGGCTTAGGGTTCCTTGAATCGCCTTCCTCTGGTGCTCTTCATACACACGCTCATCAGAAGTCGCGTGAAGTCGCGTGTACGCGCTATCAAGCTCGACCAAGTCAAGAAGCGGCGACCTCTGCGCGCCGACCAGATATGAGGAAGAAGCACTTCGAAGCGCATTGTGCCCTATGCGTGTATTATGAATCAAAGCCGTCCCCCTCATGGCGTCAAAATGCTACACTGCCATACCCAGTTGGAGTGTGGGAGCGCTTAGAGAGAGGCTTTCCCCTTGCCAAGTCTAGCTATTGTTTGGCAGCTGTGTGAGGGTTGAATCGACGTTGTTTTCCACTTTTGAAGGCGGGAGCTAGGGCACTACAAGGGTAGCTAGAGCTTCCTTCGCTTCTGTAAATGGGAAGTTTGGAGGTGATGCTCTGGGTGAAAGCTGACCGCGAGCGAGCAAACTCACGCCAACGTGCCATAGGCAATAAGGCGTAAGAGCGTGTGTATGCCGTAACTTGCCCAGTCAGAAATGATGAACAGGCACAATCGAAACATGAAAGACAAATGAGGTGCTTCCTCATCACTCGGACATGCTGTCGAGTTGCTCCAAACTAGACAACCTCTTCCCAATCTTCTGTTCATTTCTTGCGAGCCAATCTCCCTACTCCAGCCGTGGCTTGGCAGTTACGGGAACTCGTCCTCGCTTTCGCTTCAAGCTTTAATAGCACGGATATCGTTAGTGTTATGCCGCTTTGCATAGTGCACGGCGCGATCTTAGTCGTAACTTAAACCTCATTTCCAACAGCCCATCCCTCATCTTGCTCTCACTTGGGATTGGAGGGAGTGGCGTTTCGATTGATGCTCGCCCTCCTCGCGCAGCTTGAGCCACTGAAGGTACTCAGCCAGGAAGCGCGCAGTGAGTGCGAGGGTGCTGGCGGCGAAGGGAGCCCTCTGCCACTCCTGGTAAGATATGGGCTCAGTCCGGTCGCCGTGAAAATATGCCGAAAAGTCGGCGGGCGTTTGTGTTGCTTGTCACCATCAGGCGGTCAACGAGCTCGGAGCGCACGCTCGCGGGGCGGTCGAGCATCGTTGTGACGTAGGCTAAGCTTGCGCTACAGCGTGGAGCCGTTCCAGGAGTTAAGGTCGCGCGTGAAGTCGTCTACCGCCATGGGAAAGCTATTACGGCAGACAAATAAAGATAATACGATGGATTAGAGATGGTAACTGATGATCCGCGAAAAAAATAAAAACATACAACAGCGGGGATTCGCCAGTGGTCACCCACCTGACTACTGATCCGCCGGTACAATGCTTATATATGGCTGAGCGGACGGGAAGCCTAGTTTTCATTGTCCTATGGTCGTATGTGCTATACAGGGTGAAATGTTTTCAATATATCCTATCATTTAGGCTCAGGTATTTCTATAAAATTACATTTTTCTTTAGGTAGTCCATCCTCCCCGCGAGTCACTCAGGCACTGTCGCACGCACGGCATCTACTGTAGGCACATTGGGACACAGAACCTTACGCCTGCACTCATCTTGGATTGATCTGCAAAAAATTGCTGTGCATATTTCGCATTCGCTAGGAATCTGGTCCATGAAGTTTTCAGTGGGAGGCCAGCACACGCACCCTATCCAATCCAACCCCCGTCGCACCAATGAGGCCAGCCTTTTTATAACTCGTAAACTTCATTTAAGGCAGCTGTAAACCCATAAATCAACATGCCGGATGCAGCTGAGCGTAAGCATCCTCAGATCGCTTCGTCACAGAGTAGCCCTGAGATCACGCGAATACTTTCACGTGCCGGCTAGAGAAAATGAGGAGGCTCTTATGCTAATTGTCATGAGGTGGTCTGGATCAAAAAAAGCAGCTGTGGTCAGGCTGCGATCGCTCGGAGAGAGGGTGACTACTTGAGAGATCCGACTGCATCGTCTACCTAATGGACCGCCAGTATACTCAGAATCGCAAGCAATCATGAAAGCATTTCATAATTTCCCGTGCTCATGGGACTATGTAGAATGACAGATCTTTTTTAAAGCTCCCGCAGTCGCGTGCGAAAGGGTGATCTATCTTGCTTCTTGACGCGGTAAAGCCAAATCACGGTGTCAAAACCCAAGCAGGAAGTATGGACGAGGAAACCTGGAACAACAAGGAAGAGTGTCCCCAGTCCGACATGGTAGGAGGGTAGAAGACGTGAATCAGCCCCGATATCTATTCTTGGAGCCCCACACAGCGAACGGGGTACTCTGGCCTGCGGAGTAACGCGGCCGATAAATCACAATTGTGCTATATATAGGAGTCGGGACTAGGAAATAAGACTGCTTGCTCGCCCTGAGCTTGAGCACTATGCCCCTCTATTGCAATCGAACGCAATTTATAAGTTAAATGAAGTCTCACAACCCAAGACACTTTTCGTGAACTAGAGCCGAATGAATGTGTCTGTCAAGTCCATGAGCACGATCCAGCATCCACATGGGAGTGATTTTGGAAGTACCCTGTCCATGCGAATACTTGCCACGGCCATGTCCAGGACTATGTGCTGTGTACTCGCTCTGAGAGAAGACACCATGGAACCTGCAAAAGCGTTGAGATCCGCAAATTATCGATTCCAGGCCACGAGGACCCACGAGTTTATGGTGCGGTAGACTTGCAAGCAACACTATAGGAGCATACGATTGCGAACAACCAACAGAGACTGCGAGTGTCAAGCATTGTATGGAAACGATTGTATGCAAACGCTGAGGTATTGATGAACGATATAGTGATCCTACGCTCCAGCATGGCGTAAGCCCAGCTTTCTAATCCAAACGATATCCCGCTTTTTTTTTTGGGCCGATAGGATCGTACGTGGAACAGCAATTTCGTATCCATCACTGTTCCTCCCAAAGCATACAACACCTAGTATAACCTGGCCGTACCAGATTCCTTTCTCCCTGATCGTGGTTCATCTTTTCCACGTGCTTCGGGCCAAGTGTCTCTGCTTCCACTTCTCTGAACCCGCGTTTGCGATAGTAGGGCGCATTCCACGTAATCTCACGGTATGTGGTCAACGAAACCCGTGGTTTGCGTCCAGTTGCGGCTGACAATTCCCGCGCCCAGTCAAGCACAGCCGCGATCAAAGTTAGTCCCACACCCTTTCCTTGGTATTCTCGAATAGTTGATATCTCGGCGATGTATAGGGTGGTGTCCATGGTGACGGCGGCGACAAAACCCACTGCCTTGCCATTGTCTTCTGCGATGTAGATCCGGCCATTGGAAAGCCAGGTTGAAAGTTGGTCTGGCGAAGCATGGCTTTCGCCGAGATCAGCGAGTTCTGGAATTGTCTTGAAGAGAGCAACGGCATCGAGTTCGATTATAGTCAGCGTCTTTTTGTCATCTTCAGTCGCCTCCCTAAGAGTATATTCGATCTTCAAGGCCATGGGCTGCGTTCTGGATCGCGGCCTGATCAGGTGTAACTGTTAAACGGCTCGAAGTCAAGTTGCGCCGAGTGGAGGACACAGTCATAGTACCCTAAACATGATTTGTAATCAATTACCCCGCTATCGATCTGCCCAGTCCAATACAAACGAGCAATTATGAGTCTTACTGTGGTCTACCCCAACTGTCACAGGCGTGACTCATATTCACACCATGGTATTGGCGTCTGATGAAAGCATTACGTGATTTCTCCTTCTTGCACAATCTTGGCAATCTTCTATACAGAAAGCACGCTCTTCCCTGAAAGTAGCCAAATGACATCAGTGTTACTACATGCAAGGCCAAGCCAAAGTAGAGCATACCTTCTATGGCTTTGCAAACGAGAAGATTCATGCAAAGTTTGAACGCCCACTACAACCCTCACGTTCCAGTTGTAGTTTACGAAGCAGAGACTTCGATGTTTAGAAACCCTCCAACCGCTGACGCAGTTTCTCCCAGGGCGACCACCTGGGATAGAGGTTGGATTTGCTTTTCTCCATAAACCCACCAGTATATGCCGGGAAATTGCTTTATCCAACCAGTCCACTCTCTTTGCATTGTTGTCTTCACGGTAACCAATGTCTAACTTGAGAGTTCTCTCTGGGGTATATCGGCAATTCACCCTAGCGACGCTGGTCAGCAATCTTTGACACTGGCCGAATACTGAGAAAAGGACCCTCCTCGGTAGCCATCATTCGCAAATACCTGAGAATACGGAGATCGGGTAGACAGGTAGACAGCTGGGCAGGTGTACTACCACTGGCTTAACTAGATCGGTCTCCGCGGCGATGATGTGTCCGATAAATAAGAGATCGTGTACTTTTCGGTACCACGAGATTGATAAAAAAAGGAACATCAAGTAGCCCAATTTCTCTTCAGTCTCTCTGTTAGTTGTAGGTCAAGTTTTTGAAAAATTGATCGATCCCGGCAAAGTCATCCATTCCGTTCTGACGACAGCAAATATCCGGCAAGTTTCGGGCAAATAAGTGGTCTCAAACTCAGCAGTGAAACTATAAAAATGGAGGAGGATGTTTTACAAAGAAGGCCGCGTATGCATGATGACTATACCGACCATATACACCCTGTCGCATTTAGCTGCGAGAACTAATCCGGTGATGCCGAGTATGCTTCTGATCCATGGCAATTTGCTGCTTTTCGCGTCGCGAGTGCGAAAGAGGCGAATATCTTGACAGCTTCAGCGTATTAGAACTGGGGATCCAGGTCGCAGGAGTGCGCGCACAAGCCATATGCCGGGCGGGCGCAACTCAGTTTGTCCAGGCCCGATGACAAGATGCAGGCGTGGCTTCTGGTTGAAGTCAAAGCGTTTGGCTCCAGCAATGCGTACCGCTCATTGTCGACTCAAGGAGGCGACGGTCGACAGAATTCGGGCTGGGCTGGTGGGTATGGGCGTCGACCACCGAGCGCTCCTGGTCAACAGGGGACCTATAAATACGGATACGAATACATGTGCATTAACTAGAATTTGGCACCAACAATAACGTGCTCGTTGAAAAAGAGAACATAATAAGAGGAAGAGAGTGCAGGTAAAACCGCGTCAACCCCTGTTTCCTAGATACCCGAGTACTTGTCTTTATCTAATCCATTGCGCATATTCAACGACATGCTCGTTGGGCAAGGGAAGTCTCAATAAGATGAAGTACGCACGTATGTAAGAATATAGGTTTTGTAATGAGACAGGTAGTTTATATTGGACATATTGGATAGAATATGTGTCACGAGTCATACAATTCTATATATTTGGGTCCAGTCTAGCAATGAACCACACGAGAATGGACGTTGAAGCTGAGGTACCTCGCTTGACACCCTATAGACTAGAGGAGCTTCTATAAGAAACGAAAGACACTAAAAATGGCCTCCCCTCACGGTATAGATCTCTCGAAATCTACCCGGCTCAATCTGAAGTAGTGATCCTCCAAAAGCGCCTCTCATTCACTTAGTTGCATATGCCGTCATGATACGCACCGAACCGGCTGGTGCAGTCGTGCCAAAAGAGCTGTGAAATCCACACTGGCAGGGTCCCGTCCAGCTGCCTGTAGTACCGCAGGAAGATCCAACATGCCCTCATGCGTCAGATTCGTGATCTTGACCCACAACTTCGGACCCTGTAGCTCTGGCCATACAGTCAGCATGCGGGGTTCGTCTTCTCGCTCCGTGGCTACGTAGACTGCTGGCCGGGAAAGACTCGCTGGGGGCAGCGAGCCGAAGAAAGGGCCGTCCTAATTGATGGTGGTGCGGATGCGAGGGTCATGACCAGCGGCAAATAACGGCGGCGGCACCGCCTAAACAGTGACCAGCTATGGACACTGCGCAGGTGCTCGGGGACTTTCGGGCCTGGTGTTGGAAGGGGATAAGCTGGGTCATAACAGTGGTGTTGCTCAGCTGATCAATGGTGAAGGACGCATCAGCGGCTCGAAGGTACGCATATGGGATTAACTCATCCAAGTCTGCGACGTTGGAAACATTGCTGCAGATTGCATGGTCATCAGGATAGGTTATGATATTGGTCTCTCCTGGGTGGTCGATGGTGATCACAATGAAGACCTCGCTGGCGATAGCAGAGGCAATGATGTTATAGTACAGGCGGGTGCTTCTGTAGCCAGAGTCCAGGAGTAGGATAGGGGCGTCATGAAGTAGCAAGTAGGTACTAGGATCATCATCTGCACACACCGGTAGGCTAGCCTCTAGCAAGTCAATGCGCTGAGCAAGCCGGAGATTCGATTGCCGGTGAACTCTCTAAGTTGGTGGGGTCAGGAGTGAAGAAGCCGTCACGCTTTTCGACCTGGTGAATGAATGGCTGGATTTCTACGAGCTATCTCTCTGAGGCTTAGTCTGCACCTTGATGTACTGCCTTTTGCTACCGCCCGCCTAACTCGGCTAGCAGAGTAATCTTTCGCCCAGTTTCAAAGGTATGTAGTTGCACAAAATTAACACTGGCGTGTAGCGTTCGCGCGCACGGGCTAAGTTGATCCAAGGGCCTAGCGACGGTGAACTCCATGTGGGGTCCGGCTGTGGGGGCGAGGACCGCGTAGCATACTGCAGGTATTCTGGCGCAACCGAAGTATCGTTCATGTACGTACAAGTGACGGTGAGACGAGGCACGGTCATTCTCTTCTCTATACCTACAGAGAGGTGTTGACCCATTGTCCATCGTCAAATATGCAGGTCGAAGATGCCATGGGGGTTCGGCGAAGGGTTTGGTGTCAACGTGATTTCGTACATTCATCACACGAATTCGCTATTCTTCAAGTTGAATTGTGCTTCCCTAGACATATCGATCGCGTTTTGGTGTTGCGTGGATAGCCACGCGTACCCCACCTTTCTGCTAGATTGCGCTACACTTGTTCGGTCTAGCGTAATAACGCCTCCGGCGATAAGCAACACCTGGGCACGCGCCCCTGTGCTTCCCTCCTATCCCAGGTACCTGAAAACCATCCGCCAGCGACATGAAGGCGCTCTAAGAGATCATGCAATGATATGGCCCCCAATGCGACTGCAAGGCCGAAGCATCCCGGACATACACTTTCAGCACAGTGGATGAATCATGCAAAGCATTGCCATAACGCCATGAATAGTATCAACATTACTTTTCAGTGGCGGCAGCGAGGCCTATGCATCCGAGCGAAGCCAGGAATTTCGCGGTGTCTATTGCTGTCACTGCGGCCTCAGGCGGGGATGTGAGATAAGGATCATTACCGAATCGGGAAGGTGATCCTGGATCCTTACAACCACTGATACGACAGCGACATGGGTGCGTACATAGTCGCTAATCCCGACTCTTATCTTTCATAACGTTTTCGTATAAGAAACTTGGCTCGCCTTGTCATGCACCAAGCTCCAGCGGCGGCTTGGTTTCTTACACAGCGGCTCGTCAACATGTCTGCACTGGAGGAGCACAAGGACCCAATCACCTCGGAGCCCGACCACGATGTCGAGAGCGGCCATGATGTCGACCATGGACATCTCAAGGAGTTGGAGGTCGACGTGGCCAAGGTGCTGGGCGATGATCAGTCTTTTGACTTTGACTCGGACCACTCTCCGTACCCCGAAGGTATGCCCATATGCGTTACGGTGCATCCTCACATCTGACTATCGTAGTGCGCGCCGTCGTGCCAGAAGTTGATGACCCCTCCATGCCAGTCAACACCCTGCGCATGTGGATCCTCGGCTTCATCTTCACCATGATTGGCGCCGGTGTTAACAACTTCTTCTCGCTGCGCCAGCCGTCCGTCCACATCGTCTCTCTGGTCGCGGAGCTGCTGGCTTTCCCCTGCGGCATCTTCCTGGCGCATGTGCTCCCCATCTGGAGCATCAACCTGGGGCCGCTCGGCAAATGGAGCCTCAACCCGGACCGTCACTTCAACATCAAGGAGCACTGTCTCATCACGATCATGGCCAACGTCTCGATCGCATGGGGCACTGCAGATGCCACTAGCGTCATCCAAGCTGCGCAAGCATTCTATGGCTTCAAGCTATCGGCGGGCTTCAAGATACTGGTCGTGCTCTGCTGCCAGATGCTCGGCTTCGGTATCGTGGGCCTGTGCAGGAGATGGGTCGTCGAGCCTGCCAACATCATCTGGCCCGGAACGCTCTCCATCTGCGCCCTGCTAACGACACTGCATTCGCGCGCCAACGCCGTCGCCAACGGCTGGAAGATCTCCCGCATACGGTTCTTCATGATCGTCATGACGGGTGCGTTCGTCTGGTTCTGGTTCCCCGGTCTGATTTTCCAGGCACTCAGCTTCTTCACATGGGTATGCTGGATAGCGCCAAACAACCGCATCGTGAACCACCTCTTTGGCATGCAGACAGGACTCGGCCTGTCACCGATTACCTTCGACTGGACCCAGGTTGCGTACAACACCAATCCTCTCTTGTCGCCTTCGTGGGCGGCCTTGAACGTCTTCCTTGGATTTGTCGGTGCGTTCTGGATCGTGGTCCCCGCCATCTACTACACCAATACCTGGTGGACTGGATACCTCCCCCTCATGTCCGCGGATGTTTATGATCGCTACGGCGCCGACTACAACGTGAGCATGATGATCAATGCGGACGGCACCTTCAACGAGACCGCGTACCAGGACTATTCACCACCATTCCTTGGCGCCTCCTTCGCTTTCGTGTACGGCCTCTCATTCGCAGCCATCACGTCCGTCCTTGTCCATGTGGCGCTCTGGCATGGCGGAGACCTTATCGATGCATGGAAAGGGCGGACAAAATTGGACATCCACGCGCGCCTGATGCAGTCATACAAGCAGACCCCTTGGTGGATGTACGCTGCCATTGTCGTCATCATGACTGTCCTCTCTATTGTCATGGTCGAGGTCTACGACACCAAGCTTCCAGTGTACGGGGTGTTCCTGGCGCTGGTGATCCCTGCGGTCTACATGATCCCATGTTGCATCATCCAGGGCATCACAAACGTCGACGCCCAGCAGCTGAACGTGCTCTCAGAGTTCATCGGCGGCTACATGTTCCAGGGCCGGCCACTCGCCAATATGATCTTCAAGACGCTGTCGCAGGATGTGGTCCAGCAGGGCCTCTACTTTGCGCAGGACATGAAGCTCGGTCACTACATGAAGATCTCGCCGCAGCTGGTGTTCGCAGCGCAGGCCAGTGCGACGGTAAGTTTAGTACTCACACTGGTCAAATTCACACTGACAAGCACCAGATTCTGGGAGCTCTTACGCAAGTCGGCACCACGACCTGGATGCTTGGCAACATCGACAAGATCTGCACGTACGACCAGCCCGACCGCTTCTCGTGCCCTCAGGGCAGAACGACGTACTCTTCGTCGGTCATCTGGGGCCTCATCGGACCCAGCCGCCTGTACTCCGTCGGGCAGATTTACTCTGGCCTCTGCCATTTCTTCTGGATCGGCGCCCTGATGCCGATCGTGACCTGGTACGCGTACAAGCGCACCAATATCGGCTGGCTGCGATACGTCAATTGGCCACTCATCTTCGTCGGCACCTACAATGTCCCGCCCGCCACCGGCATCAACTACAGCTCGTGGTGGCTCGTCAACTTCCTTTTCAACAGCCTCCTGTTCCGCAAAGCCTTCGCCTGGTGGACCAAGTACAACTACATCCTGGCTGCCGCGCTGGACACCGGGACTGCCTTCTCGGGCATCATCATCTTCTTCGCCGTCAGCTACAGCGGCGCGGTGTTCCCGGACTGGTGGGGCAACACGGTGTTTGTGAACACCGCGGACGGCGACGGCGTGCCTTACTTGGACATGCCGGCTTCGGGATACTTTGGGCCGGCGAATGGAACGTGGAGCTGATCAGAGACGGTGGACGGGTTGTGGGGAGAACAAGGCTTTAGTTATTCGTAGATCAGCATAAAACAAGCCAAGCCGACATGCAACTTACTTCCTGGACACACATGCCTGAACTTCCGGACGTACCGCCAAAAACCAATCCTAGTCGTTGACCCTCCCTCGGTTTACAGCATCCTCGCTGTGCTTGAAATCGCCTTCGGACATCATCATCGTCTCAAGTCAGCGTATACTGGATCACCATCCAGCATCTGGATGCACTTAGCAATTCTTTGTCTACCACTATCTTCTAGCTGCTGACTGGTGTTGGCTTCGCCGACGAGTCCAGATGGAACTTATACGCCGAGGCCAGGTTGCCAAGCGGTAGACCTGCTGAAAGCGTTTGATTGTCTGTTGCAGGCGGTAGTTGCAAAGACGGAAGTGGGGACTCTCTTTACTGTTGGTCGGTAGTCCTGTTGCAAACATCCAGACGTCGGTTGCTTGTATCTGCTTGGGACTGCGTGTCTGCACGTAGATAGGCAGTCTGGTATTGAGGTCCGGCAAATCGAGTATCAGAGCCACGGCGTCCTTTGTGGTAGTGGCGGGCGAATGCGCAGCCGTTTAGCCGGACAGACCCGCCGCGTTCGCCAGACGAGACCACGAAGACGCGAATTCGTTCTTCAGATCAAACATGGCCATCAGTCCTCCGCTCTTGGTTGACGAGTCCACTGCCTTTAGGAAACTCATCACGTACGCCTGCGCGAGCTTCGAAAGGGCGCCGGCGAATCCGAACAGACTGGCAGTCATGACCACGTTCGAGTCGGGCAGGTATCCCAGTAGCAGTGTAGTCTGATTACTGAACGGGAACGCCTGTTCCAGCTGCACAATGGCATTAGAAATCTGTCGAATTTGGTAGCGAAGTCATTGTAGGATCGTGCTTTGATTTCGTTGTTTTGGCGGGGAACCTGCTGCCCTCGTGGCCCTGCTCTTACGACAGACGCCGTTGAGACTGATTCCTATGGAAGGTTTTTCTGGCCGGGGCGATGAATGACCCCATCTCTGCATATATTTTATCAACGTACCATAGAGAAAAACTCCATATTGGAACGAGTAAGATGTTGCAGACATAGTCAAAGTCCTCGTAGACCTTGAGTGGGTGCAATTCCGACATAATGTACTCAAGGGCATTGCATCGACTACGGTCTATGCTGGCTAACTATTGTCAGTAACCTTCATCTCCATCAAGGCAAGTCGAGAGTGTACATGTAATTGCCTAGTGGATTGGTAGGTCTAATGTTTGGTTCCAACCTTCACTTCCTTTAATTGCCAAAGCCGTCGCTTTCTCGAATTCTTCGCCCGTGTGAAACACTCGAGAGATACAGATCCACAGCATTAGGTCTCGGCAGTAGAAAGATGGGATCGGGACACTACGTCTCACATTGGTAATCCAGTCCCTGACGTCACGCTCAATCACCTCTGCGTTTTCAAGCTCGTCGTAATCAACAAGCACTGCTATTTTTGTGAACATCTCCAAGCTTACAGTAGCTGGGACATGACGTGTTCAGACGTGGAATATGTTTAGAAGAATGAGGCGAGCTTCTTCGTCCCAATCTCTAGCTAAGATATGGTATTGTCCGTCTGATGGATTTTTCAAGGCTTCAATAAACTCCTCTTTTGTCAATGTGCGCCTGAACCATGGCGAGGCTAACATTAAGTGGCGAGACGAGACAAGATAGTGAATCTCGTCATCCTCCGAATTGGTCGGCTCAAAGGCGGGCTCAGCTAGTTCGACGTTGGAGTTTTCTACTCCGCCGTCGACTGTTGATGCTGGTTCTGGATCGTGGACAAGCTCCTGCTCTCTAGAGAAGGCTCCGTAGGAAGGCTCAGCGCGCCCACCATTATCCTTTGGAATGCTCCGGCCAGCGCTGTTGCTAGAAGCTCTAGTGCGCTTTCTGGCTTTCTTCTCCTTCTTTGATAGCTTCGTCCACTCATCCTTAGAAGGTTGAGTGTGTATCCTTTGGTGTTCCTCTTCCAGCTCGGCAAAGTCAGTATCGGAGAGTCTGAGGGTCTCGTCCTAAGGGGCAAAGATTGTACAGGGACGCTTCAGTACAATGACTGTATCTGCAAATGGATCGACATGATATATGACTGATGGCATGGTGGTGCTTATTCATTATCATAGTGGATATAAGGGGTATGCATGTTTAATACGACCTTTGATTAGGCTATGCGGCGTATTATAGTATTCCGGCTGCCTATTGTATGCCTTGGCAGGCGGCTTGTAGCAGGAAGTGTTGTCACTTTGGGAACTTGACCATGATTGGACAATCACATTTTACTGGTCTATGGCGACGAATTGCGATAATGTAAAGCTCCCTTGTTTGGTGTGGATCCTTGGCCACCTATTTTGAGACGTTCGTGTCGTGGCCACCACTGATGGGAAGGGGTGTATACCCTAGTCCGATCCACGGGCCAGTACTCTGCAGCGTCTGCATTCCTGTGTCAGTCAGCGCGGTGCTGTTCCGTTTCTGTGTTACAGTATCCTTATTGATAGTGTGTCGCGGTTTACCCTGTTAACCTCAACACCATGGCTCGGTCCAGCATCGCTTACCCATGCTCTGTACTACATCGCTTCACGCACACATATATATACCACAATAGCTAGTATTCAATCAATCTTCAGTGCCTAACAATTTCTTCTGCCCAACGTGCGGTTTATCCTCAACCGCAACATAGTGCCATCTAACGTCGTGGACATGACTACTTAAACTTGGTTATCTCCTACGTACCTACTTCATCTTTGTCTGGTCCAAATATTTAGTATGGAATTGGGATATATCCTTTCCACGTTCTGCTAGAGTTGCAACCATATCTGAGTGCGGGAATAACGAACGAATAGACTCAAAAAAGGCGAACGAATGCACTCGAGTGCCCCTGCTCACGCTAAAGATTTGCATTGATAAAGCGAACAATTGGCCTGTTTATTTACGGCATAACCGCCAGCGCAGGCTCAATCGACGTGGCTTAACTTGCTACACTAGGTTGCGAAGTTGCAGCGCTTCGCAACTCAAGACACCTTTAATCCCTTTGATCATCGAAATCAGGGGATCAAGGGTCGCTCATCCAGCGTTTCTCGGGGGATTCAGGGCCATAGCCGTTAATCCTTTCGCCATCGATGAAAGTTAGGGCAGAGTGTATCTGCGAAAATAGCTCTAGAGCCTTCACTGAAGACGCCGCGGCTTCTTGTTCTTGCCACAACTGAGTCAATCTGCAGAGTTTTTCAACACTTTCCCTCATCTCCTCCAAAGCCAATCTTCGAAACTCTGGGTATCCAGGCTATACGGAATCTCGTCCACCGTCGTTGCCCACTTCGTGGACATGCCATAATATTTATGGGTAGCGGGGTTGACGACGAACGCTCCGTACTCTGCTACATCGGGGCTGTCGTTTCCGAGGCTGGTTTCGTACAGGCGCAAACACCTCTCGGCGAAGACGCGCGCCCTCGCTAGATCTCCGTTCGCGACCGCAATCTGGAAGGCATCGGGGTATGCGCGGGTCAAACCGCCCTCAGCTATGGTAGTCTTCTTCCAGATTCGAACCTGCTCGTCGACGTAGCTGAGCATCTTCTGCGCAGGCTTGACAAGGCCTTTAATACCGCGCTTTTCAATGATGTCATCAATCGCGTGGATCCGATCCAGGGCCGCGTCGTTGCACTTGCTCTCCCCCAGCGGCAAGCAGCACAGCTGACACGCGCAAAGAAATCCAAAGTTGTGCAAAAGCTCGTCTTGGCGCGCCTGGCGATTCCGGAGGGTGGCCAGATACGATATTGTGATTTCTTCCCCCTTACGGATATCTCGTATAGCGTGGATTGTGAGCTGGTTGAGATTTTCGTTCCAACAGTGCACCGCGTTGCCGTCGCAAGCGTGATTTATGCGGCATGCCTGCAAGAAGATGCCTCCAGTGTCGAGGTTTGGGCCCATGGGCAGTGCGTTCGTTCGTAAGATGCCGTACCACGTTTCCAAAGGATTGATGCCGCCATAAACATTGGCCATGGAAAAAAATTCTTGTCTGTCATATTTGCTGAGAGAACTGACTTGATCGAGAATGCAAGTGCGGAGCTGTTGGATGGATGTGATGTTTTGACTTATCGTGATGATGGGCTTCTCAGACATGACCCGTGTACCCTTTGTAATGTCCGTAAGCGCAACGACGCCTCTGCCTTTTCCGGGTATGTGCTCCACAGCGTATATTTTCTCAGGTGTGCCTTGCATCCCCCAGAGAAGAGTGCTCGTGATAATGCCCATTGTGCGCAAAGGACCTGCTGAAATCGACGGATCTCAGCAGGTCTTATTTCAGCAGGTCCTTTGCGCAAGGGTCTACATGTCTGTCGCGTCTCAACCCTGTGCCAGCGCGGGGTTGTCAAGCCAGGGCTGGCGCTTTAACTAAGCTTTTCACAAGGTATTGCTGTCACACGCTTTACATACATCGGAACATTCCGCCAGGATAAGCCGTCATGTGGATAGTCTTTGATCAGGGAATCCTTCCAAGTCACTGCTCTGATCCTGGCATTCATTAAGAGGAAGCTTCGCAGTCAACTGCAAAAGTCGGTAATACCCCTATATTATAGCAGTCCAATTTTTTCAAGCTGCAAGTGCGATGCCGAATAGTGGTTGCACGACACAGGGCGACAGCAGTATTGACGTCTGTGTTGCGATAATGGAATGGAAGCTTCGCAGCTGCCTGGCAAGCCTATAGGCAATTCGCGCAGTAGGTGGCGTAGAGGCGCTGCCTGCTCCAACGCTCCAACTGCTAACTGCACCGGCGTTGCTGCAGAGGTGGCGCCTAGGCTAGGTGCGTCGATGGGCGGAAGGAGCTCGCGATGCAGCTGGCGTTCTCCGCAGGGCTCGTTGAGGGGTGTTACTATTGCCGGGCGGCGGAGAGGCGCTATGGTGGGATGGGACGGCGGTGGCAGTACGGTTATCCACCTTAATAATAGTGCCATCTAACATCGCGAACATTAATATTGGCTGTGTACTCTGGCAAGAAACCATATCATCTCTCAATCCCGAGATTTCCCAACAAACAAAGGTTTAGGCAAGTCTATTAAGATCATGCCAGAAAGCTGCATGGACGCCGCAAAGATTGACATACTAGAAGGAATAACTCGTGGTGACACTAAAGGCGAGCGGGGACGACGTGTACATTGGGCTCTCAGACGTCATGTGATCGCTCTCCCGCTGAAAGACATTCTCCAAGGACAAGTAGAGAGACTTTTCTTCTCCTAATAAGAATTATCATCCCTAGATGACTTGACTTCCAATGCCTCCTAAATATTAACCTCACACCTCGCAGCCGCGTACATGCTGAGTGCCAACGTTAGATGTGGACCACGAGAATAGCGTATGAACTGTGGGTACTAGAGTGCGGATTGAGTGTCCAACCTTAGTTCTGAGAATGAAGAAGAGGGGGATCGGTCTCTGTAAGACGCGCGGCCGCACGGAGGACAAGGTAGAACAGAAGATGCAGGACGATGGGCGGTGTGGCGAGATGGCATGTGCAATGTGACCTTGTCCAGATGGTCCAGCTGTCAACAAAGCGTAAGGAGGTAAGCACACTCCTGCGCAGGGAAGGTCGTAATGGTATGGCGAATTGCGATGTGATGGGACGAAGCGGACGGCCGGAGTGGGAAGGCAAATGTTGCTGGTCGGCTCGCAGCGAAATGTGCGCGCAATTCAAAAGGTCTTGTATTCCAGACATATATCCAAGAAATCATAAGGAGTATCATCACGGGTCATTCAATCGTACCCCGCTCCGGTCATATCACAGGCAGCGGCCAGCTCGTGGGCTGGCACGACTTCCCTCTGCTGCCGCTCATACGAGCTGCCCTTCTCTGTCACCGTATGTTCAGTGTCAGAGACCGCTGTAGCGCGTCTCAGGGCTCGTCTCTTCGGCCAGGTGCGTGTGCGAGTTGTTCATCGCGCGGGGTTCGTCCTTGTTCAAGTCGAATGGTCGTGGTGCATGAGCGCCTGCTCGTTTCGCACGTGTTATCAAGTCCACGAAGCCGATTCCCGCGCGCTCCGCCAGCGCCAAGTAAATGTCTATCAGATCTTCCTGGGGCAAGTCGAGTAAATAGGGGTGTGCGGGCCCGTGTCGATGCCAAACAGGTCTGCCTCTGACGAGTCGAGTGAGCGAGTTGGCGCGTGTGTCGCGCGACGGCTCGATTTGCAGGTATCGTCGAGGGAGAAAGACCGTGTCTCTTTCGTTGCTGAAGGAGGGGTGTGACGCTCCGAGGTGAGGTATTTGTCGTCTCAGCTGGAATGGCGGCGTGTCCGCTCACCAACCCGCCTCCAATGGCACCGACTGCGCCCGCCGCGTGCCCTGCACCGAACTCCCTGTCTGTAACCACCTGGCAAGCAGCATATCTTTCAAGGCTTCGACCCTCCTCTCCACCTCTTCGCCCTTCTCCCAGCAAACCCTCTCGCATTCTTCCCCGACAACGTCCACCAACGCATCTGCCTTCTCTCTCAATTCTTCCAGTCCGACATCGCACACCCTTCTCACGTCCATCAGCGCGTCCTCCCGCAGCACGGCGAACTCGACGCGTTGTTCCTCCAGCTGCTCCTGCATGTCGACGTCGGCGGCGTCGCGCAGGTAGAGGACGTGCGCGTGTGATTCCGAGGTGAGTTCGGACGCAAGGGCGGTGGCATGTTCGTGGAGATGGGTGGCGAGGAGCGCGTGGAGGGGGGCAAGTGGGTGCGGCGGCGATGCATCTACCGGTGGAGGTGGTGATTTGTTCGCTGTGCGAGGTGGGGAATGTTTTGGCGGCTTGGGCGCGTACGTCGGCGGGGGTTCGTGTGCCGGTGACGATGCGGGCGCTCTCGACGGCTGGGTCGGCACGGCGAGCAGGCGCGTGAGCATGCCTGGGAGCACGGCGTTCAGTGCGTCGGGCAGCAGCCTTGCGACGGCAGCCTCGATGGCGGCATTGACATGGTGCGGCGGCGGCGGCGAGGACAGGGGCAGCCGCGGGCTTGGGCTGGCTGTTGTCGTGGTCGCCTTCTCCGTGGGCGATCCGGGATCGACTGCGGCGTCGACGAGGAGGCGCTTCGGCGGTGGTGCTTGCGGCGAGCTGGGAAGTGCTGCGGACGTCAGTCAACGGTGCAGAGTGATCTGCTCTGTTGTACACGTACACTGCCGCGAGCGCTTCAGCGACGCGTCTTCATATGTCGGAGGGGCCTCGACCGAGTCCACGGGGACGAAGACGGCCCAGTCTGCCTCTGCATACAAGCCAGTACCCACAGGGAAGCCAGCCAGCTGCTTCGACGCGTCCACCAGACTCAGGAACTGCGCAGATTTCTTCGGATTCAGCCACGCGTAGTCGAACGTGACTTGCAGCGCGGTGGCACGGGCGAGGACGGCCAGCTGCTCGCACCGCGCGTCGGCGTGGTCAATCTCTCCCAGCTGCCGCCTCCAGCGGACGGCGCACGGCTGCTCCGCCTGTAGAGCCAGCAGCCGGAGGTCGCGCCCGTTGTTGCGCGCGATCTGCTGGCGGAGGTGCTCTGGAGGCGCTTTCGCGTCGTCGAGCGTGGCGGATGCCAGCTTGTCTGCATCGTGAACGAGGGTGACGTGCCCGTCACCATCGAGGCCGGCAAACTTGGCGCTAAAGTGCAGCTCGACCGCCGCCTGCTGCCGGAGCTCATCAACCTTGACTACCAACGAGCACAGCCACCGGGCATGTTTGTGCGGGACGGACACAAGGGCAGGAATGCCGCCGGGGCGGAAGACAAAGTGTGACATTGTCAATTCTACACAGCGCTATGTACTTCGCAACTCACCAGTCAATGTCCTCCTCGCGCGAACAGCGCACCAGGAGAACCCCCCCACCCGGGCTTGTGTGCAGAGCAGCCCTGGCTCTGTTGTCGCGCCCCGGCTCGTCGCGCGCTGCCAGGTCGCCGTGGTTGCCCCGCCCGGCCCAAAAGAGCAGCACCCCCAAGACGGAGTCGCGCAGCCGTGCGCAGCGTCAAGGGCCTTGTGTGTGCGCAAGGATGGTGCGCTGAGATGGGACAGCGGGCGGTGCGAGGACAAGCGATGCAAGGCGGCGTGCAGGAGCCAACGCCGCTGCGCAGAGGATGCAAGTCGCTGAGCCCGGCCTACAAGAGCGTCGCCCCCTCGACGGTGCTGCGCGGTGCGCGGCGAAGAGGGCCTTGTGGAGTCGCAAGGAAGGCGGGTTGGAGTAGGGCAGCGGGCGGCGCGAGGAGCAGCGATCGGCGACAGCGGAGAGGCGGAGGTGAGTTCGTGAGGGCCGACTTGGATGATGCGCGAGGTTCGGAGATGGGTGTTGATGGAAGGCGTGGCCGGCGTCGATGAAGCCGGTCGCAAGTTGCCATGGAAGAGGCCGTGGCTGGGAAGCCAGTGTTGGGCGCTAAAGCTTGGGAGTCGGGCCGGCGTTTCCCCGGCCCCGGCGCGTCCCCCGGCCCCGGCGCGGCTGCCAAGTCGTCCTCTGGAACGCGACTCTGCACACAGCGCCGCCTCACAGCGCGACGTCTTGGCTCTCTGCACCAAGGGCAGGATGGCTTCTTGGACCGAATCAACGCTCCGCAAGTGTCCGCCACGAATGCTCCCAAATTCCAACGGTGACTTCGACCTCATCGCCCCATTGATGAAGAGGAGCTGGACGACGAGTACTGAGATGGCGGGAAGACTAGCTGCAGAGGTATCCCCAACTGGGATATGGATTACTACTGCTCGGAATAGACTGCGTCAAGGGCGAATGGTCGCGGATGATGTTGCCTCGCGGGCTGGCAAGTGGCTTTGCACAGAAGCCTCGACTTTGCAGAAGCCCACCTCCCACATAGTGGAGGGTTATCTGTGGTTATTGATACGGTCAGCTGAGATGGTGGGAGATTCGTGCAGCAGGTTCTCGTATTTGATGGTCCTGTTCGGCGAATGAACTCCAGCAACCGGACTTCTTCTCCACCAGCCATATCCTCGTCGTGTCGATTTACGTGCCGCCTGAGTCTCTCTGCGCATCCCACTTGCTCTCGCTCAGAATCGGTGTGTCGGACGTGATTGTTACTTTGCTTTTACACATGCACCACGCACGCTGATGGGGACCAGTTTCGTAGTTGTTGTAGCACGTCATCTGCACCCCAAATTCCTCATCTCCAAAGAGAAACACCTAGCTCTTTCGAATTTAGCGTAGTCCCCTGTTCGCTCTTTCCATCTACGTCGATGCAGCTTGTCGCTAACCAGGTGGTTGCCGCTGTCCTCATCCCCGCCCGGTCTGGTGTCATTACTGCCACCTTCGCCTAGACCGTCCGCCAGATTGGCTGTCTGCTTAGCTTGCAGGCTTATCAAGACCACAGAGCAGTTTGCTCGCAATAACAGCCTCCTCTTGCGAACACATCTGGTGCGCACCGCAATCATCCGTCGCGGTGCTGAACAAGGCGATAACGCGAGTAGACGAGATAACGGATATACATATACTTGCAGCTTCCAGCCATGCTCTTGTCTATATATCGACGTGGATCGCTTCGCCGACCAACCCTCACTGATCCACAATGTCTAAGACGACGCCTTCGATCGCCTCGTCCACGCCCTCCCACAGCTGGCGTGGATGGCTCTGGGATTCCGCCGAGGTCACTCAGGAAGAAAGAAAGTTTCTGTTCAAGCTTGACGCCACGTTGCTTACGTTTGGGACGCTCGGGATGCTAATCAAGTGGATCGACACGTCCAACATCACCAACGCCTTCGTCTCTGGCATGAAGGAGGATCTCAACCTGTACGGTAACCAGTACAACTACATTGTCGTCGCCTGGACCGTTGGCTACATCATTGGCCAGTGGCCATCCAACATCATTCTTACTCGAGTCCCTGCACACATCTGGATCCCGTTCCAAGAAGTCGGCTGGACAGTCTTTACGTTCGCGTTGGCTGGCGCCAAGTCTTACGAAGCTCTACTTGGACTTCGTTTCGTCGTAGGGCTGTTTGAAGCGGGTTACTGGCCTGCTTTGTACTATGTGCTGGGATCCTGGTATAACAAGAGTATGCTGCTGTATGCACTTCGTATAAGAGCATCACTGACTGACCACTAGGGGAACTCGGGAAACGCAACGGAATCCTACAGTCTGCCGTGTCGATTGCTCCAATCTTCAGTGGCTTCTTGCAAGCTGGTATCTACAATGGTCTGAATGGCAACGCTGGTTTGGCAGGATGGAGATGGCTATTCGGTACGTCCCCCAACAGCCATCATCGAATCTATGCTCACATTCCGTGTCCAGTCATCAATGGAGTCATTTCCCTGCCGATTGCAGTCCTCGCATACTTTTTCCTGCCCGACACGCCCGGGACCGCCAAACCCAACTGGATCTTTACCGAGCGTGACATACAGCTCGCGCAGGAGAGAATGGCACGGGCCGGACGGAAGCCCGAAGGGAAGCCATATACCGCCCGCACGATTCTGGGCTTCCTGACGTCCTGGAAGACGCTTCTCTTTACGTTGATCTTCACAATGCAACCATTTGGATCGCAGCCCTTTCAGTCATTCGTGTTTTGGTTGAAGGCTCACAACAAAAAGGGCCAGCCGCAAGTCTATACCGTCGCCCAGATCGTAAGTGCACAAATGTCAGCTTCCTGAAGGCCTTGCTGACACTGCTTTACAGAACGAATACCCAACCATCGGCAACGCATTCACTGCCGTATACTCCTTGACATGCGTCTGGATCTCGGACGGCCCGTTGCGAGGTCGACGATGGCCCATCATTCTCTTCTCGAACCTGATCGCCATTATTGTGTTCGTCTTGCTAGTTGTGACGCCGGTCATGGGTCCCTTTTCGCACCGGGCGCCGCTGTACATTGTCTCATCCGTCGGAGGAAGCATGGTGCCGTTGACTATGGCATGGATGGCGGAGCTCATCTCCGACAACGCTGAGCAGCGAGCGTTTACTGCAGCTTCGATGAACACGCTCCAGTATACCTTTAACGCCTGGGTCCCACTGGTCTGGTTCCAGCAAGTCCATCAGCCGTACGTCACACCTGGCAATCGCGCTGCCGCCGTTATCGCCGGCTTGAATATTATCGTCTTTGGTGCCATAGCACTACTCGCTCACAGGGAGAAGCTTGCAAAGAAGCGGAATAACCAGGCGTCTGACGTCTTGGATTTACAAGAGCCAATTACGCCAGTGAACAATAGCCATAAGAAGGGTCTCGGGGTAGAGGTTCTAGCACTTTAATGAAAGAATATGGAGTTCTTACATTGAATCATTCGACCCGAAATCAGTGGTTGAGGACAAGGATAAAGTTCTGCTAGCTTAAACAACGCCCGGATATATATCGCTACGCTTATTTCTCGCTTTACAATCGAGACTAAGCAGAATAGACAATTGGACGCAATAGTAAAGACCTAATCAGATTACTGTATTGAAATCGGATGAGATCAGACTATATAGTTGAGCTACTCTGTCCCTAGCTCTGATTCTCTCTGCCAGTCTCTTTGATCTTAGACCTGTTCTCCGCAACATTGACATATCTATCATTTCGGGAAGACGGTCGTTGAAATCTGCTTTCCCGAAGCATCGTAGCGAAGTGGGATAACGCCAGTTATGCCGTTAATATCGCGTGGCTCATAGTCCAATTGCATTGCGGCTGAGACCATAACATCTTTCCCATACGTCTTCTCCAGCCAGTGTGCAAACATGTCCATGCCAGCTATCACTCCACCACCAGTCCAGATGTTACCATCGATGACCCATTTCTTGTCCTTGGACCAATTGACGTTCGGATACCGTTTCGCAATCCAATTGTATTCAACGTTGTTGACAGTAGCGTTTTTGCCGTCGAGAACTCCCGTAGATGCAAGCGCCGAGGCACCAGTGCAGGTGGTGAAGATGGTCTTTCCCGCGGCATGGTGGCGCTTGATGAAGTCCACGTATTTCGGTGGGAACTCAAACGTCTCTGGCATGGGTCCGCCGATCAAGAGATAGTCGATGTCGGGACAGTTGTCGAGAGTATCCGTCGGGGTGATTTTGAAGCCGCTCGTCATCAGCGCCACCGGCTCAAGGCTCTCGGCAATGTGGTGGAAGATGAAATTCGGAGATTTGTCTATGGTCTCCTGGGAGACGTCGGCACCGTGGGCAAGGCCGTACTCGGCAACGCGTCTGCTCGCGAGGTTGAGCAGATCGAAGGGACCAGCCACATCCAAGGTCTGGTACTCGTATACCAAGGATCCGAAATGTACGTCTTGCACCATCTTGTTGACTTGGGAGTATCGTTGCGGGAGGAACAAATGGCTGGAATGGTCAAACAGTGGTGACCGATACTCTATGTCCAGCGCCCATATTTCCAGCTTTATACCATCTCATCTAGCTACAGGAAGCTCAAACATGTAGCTAGAGTAGCCCACGATTGTCAAGCAAGTGGATTTATCATCTACAGTATGTCAGCACGGATGTACAGACTTCGATAGTGTCCACAATAATGAACTGACCTATACACAATTATCGCGAAAAAGACATATTCAGAAGGTGTAGCAAGTCGGCACGGAAGAAATGGATTGAACCGGCATCCGTGCTCACTCGTTAAACCTCCTTGCACTAATTACTAATCACAGCCGGCACGGAGCACATGGAAAACACCGGCGATCGGAGATGACTAATTATGCCTATGTAGACTGATAGTCGGGACTTTTCTCGCAATCTTAGAAAGGTAGTATCGCAAGGCGCACTGCATGTGGACCGCACGAGGCTTCCATTTAGACTTTTCTTGGCTATGAATCTCTATTCACAAATCACCTTCTCCAACCAGTTTCATCTTTACGACCATAATTGGCACGTCAAGCGGCATGGCTCCTCGACAATGCGAAGCCGAGACCAAGAATGTATCACCTTGGGCAAGCCTTTAAAATTCGAGATCTCGAAGAAGGCATAGAATCGATTCTTGATGCGTGCAATGACTGAGCGTCTCTCTTCATGGGACCCTAAGAACGTGCCAACCCTATTTAAGCTATTACCTTTACTATTGACTATTTCATTAAGTGTAATTGCTATGGTCGTCTCTGAATATTCACCTAAGAACTTCGAAGCCCGTGATGTTCTTCAAGATCCTCATCAACGTATACCGAACATGGGGCAAGGGGGAATTCGGCCTTGTCATGACTGGCAACATCATAATTAGTACGATAATCTCGAGGCTGCTGGCAACTCTAACCTCTTTTACCCCGCGGCTTGTGACAGAGCCTGGACAATCTGAGGGTGCAGGCGTTCGTATAGGCGCATTGCGTACGTTGCAACACTACGAGGACTTTAAATAATAAAATTGATTACATGTCTCTATTCACTACTCCACTAGAGAATCTCATGATCATAGCTATCATAGGTGGCTCTATGACCTCACATTTGTGCGCAGCGTATGATGTTCGGCAGGGCATGACATGACTTCGGGTACGACGTGCTCTGGCACACTCCTGCGAAGGTAGGAATTATTCTAGCTAGCCAGGATCATCACAGTCTGATTTCACTTGAAAGCTCCAGCCACTGCGGTTATTTACGATATTACTGACAGCACCCTTCTAATGCGACGCGCTAGGACAACGTCACGACGCGATTCGCGCTCCAGCTTATCTAGGCTTATCGAGCGGCCCCAAGTTAACAGAAAAACCAATATTTGGTAGAAATTATGATACTGGGGTACGACGCATGCAATCGAAGAGTTTTTGTACAGGACTAACACAAGCTAAGGTCTTCACGGTCGATGATGTTCAGAAATTATGCGTCAAGTCAGATTGTGAAGTGCTTCCACAAACTGTTGAAATTGTGGAACATGACCAAATTTATTTGGCGAGAGTATCTTTTCCTTCAGAATCCAAGACTTCAAGGGAATAGTTGGTTGATTGATGAAGTTCAATGGAGTGAACCTATCCCTCTATTACAAAAGCTGTGATGAAACTGGCTGCCCCAAGGTAGGCTCAGAGACGACTTGTTATTTATTGATACAGAAATACTCACGTGTCTCTCACGAACCACTCCCTGGCCGCCTCGTATACCTTGGAAAAAGCCGGATCAAAAGACATCAACCGCTGGTAGGCCTGCTCATCAAAACGTTCGACAAAATGAAACATAGAGACGAGAATGAAATCGGCATACGATACTGTCCAGTTAGTTTCCGCCTCACATGCTGCGTGAAATGACTCCTTACCAGTCTCTCCCAAGAAGAAGGGCCCGTCATGCTTTCTCAGCAGATCCGCTATCTCTTTCACTGGCTCCTGCAGTTGTTTCCAACCATCCTCTGCGTTCTCCAGAGCTTCTTTATGCAACTCCGCCAAGGGCCTACCAAACATCTCTTCACGCGTTCTGTTGTAATACTCCCGGGATCTTTCGGGCAGTTGGTCGGGAACTCTAGGCAAAAGTTGCAGTATGATTGGACTGAGGATCTTAGATATCTGATCACGAACCTTCACTGTCACGGGTTCGTTCAGATGGAGGGATGGACTCGGATAGCGTCGTTCGAGCTCCTGGGCGATGGGCCAGGAGTCCATCTCGTAGGTGCCGTCTTCATACTTGATAGCAGGGATGCTGTAGTCTGTGAAGTAACCCGGGGCATCCTTGTGGTTTGGCGCAAGTCCTCTATGTGAAGTTAGAAATCCTGCTTCGATGCTTAACCTATCTTGTTACCCACAGTGACCTCAGCCTGGGCTCAATATCTGGGTATTCCACCCACTCTGTATCGTACTCGATGCCCTTGTAGTTCAAGATTAAACGCGCTAATTTAGTTAGTAGTAGACAGTATTAGACAATACTCACACTTACTCTTCCAAGGGTTGAGTGACCAAGACGTGCCCTGCTGAGAGGGCAAATCAAATAAGACAATTCGAGATAGCATCGTGTCTGGTGATACATTTATTTGTGGAACATGTTGAATAAAGTAATTGTACTGCTCTTGACGACTGTGATAGAGTGGAGTTGTTATAAGCCCTATAATAACTGCATTATCACCCCTCATTTGTAAGCCGGTGATGCAGAGGGTCCATACCAGTCGCGGAATGTCGGCTACGATAAGATGCTAAACGGCGTAGTAATAGGTTGTTTTGACACATTGCATGCCATCCAATTTGAGTGGTTAATTTCCACTAACAAGCATTACTGTGGCGTCAAGTTGCACGGCTCCAAATACCATACGAATCCTTCCAACCGTATTGGTCATAAAGACCTGCTGATGTGGTCAGAAGAGGTAGTCCGATGGATATGGACATGTCGTGCAAGCTGTAGAAATCATATGTGAGATACGGACACTATGAAAAACAGGTTCATGGGGCCAATCGAAGAGCCCACCTGTGTCATTCCGACAGCCGTGAGCCTCAGCGTCTCTTCCATCAGCAGCCGCGTGCCCGGATCGGATCTTGATGTCGGAGTGCACGGGCGCTATTAATTAACCAATGACCCGATCAAGCTTGCACTCCGTGAAATGGGTCTGATTGGTAATCACAGAGACCGGTGTAATTCTTGTCTTCCGTGCCGTGGTACTGCACCTTACGTCCAGGTCTATTGGTAATCATGGACCACTGCAGCCAAAGTTTGAGCTTCGTGCAACGAGCAAATAGCATAAAGCTAGAGATAGGTGCGCTGAAAATAGAGCATTACCTACCATCATTCAACCCCTTCTGATCGTGTTTTATCCTGCTAATCTGCCCTTGCGCGTGCCGTCTGGATTCGCGTAACACCTGACGAACACTATACCGGTAGCCAGCAAGCCCCGCAACGGGCTGCCGCCATTCCGCGCCATATTTAGAATCGAGTCAATCTGTGTCAGTGATCCCAACATAATTTCCAGCGAACAAAGAGAAGGAATGTACAGTAGCAGCTTATTGTGCTAAAGAATGAACTTGAACCATGGGTTTGATGGATCCACCTGCTGTCGTGAAGCTTTTGTTTCGACTCGTGTCATAACTGTAACTCATCAACATACAGGTTTTCATGCCCAGCCATGCTTCCACACTCTCGACGCAACCATTAACCCAATTGCAACGACCATTAGAGCGGCATTCCAGCAGATTGGCGTGGTGTAGCCTCCACCAGCCTTCAGTAAAGCCCCCGATATCGGCCTCCCTACAAGAGTCGCAATCCCAATCCTAACCCAGGGCAACATCGACACCCAGCCCTGAGTGTCGTTAGGACCGTAGAGCTACAGTCGTATAGACACTCTGCCCTCGTTCCAATTTCTAGTCGCTGATTGGTTCCGCTCCGCTCTTGAGCTAGTCCGGACCTCGCTTCATCAAACGCTACGCAAGCTTCCACTGCGGGTATCTATGTTCTAGTGAATAGTAGAAGGGTAGGTGTGCTTCATTCCTACTGTGTCTAGATGACACTACTGGAATAACAGCGCCGTACCTTGTATCCTTACCATCGGTTTACAGGCTAGTTGCATCCCAAATGGCTGCGACGCCTTCACCCAAAAATCTGGCAATCGACCATAACATCCATCACTAAGTGGGGAAAACCACGGTGTGTCGGAACTGATCAACCAGTCCGCTAGAATAGAAGAAGAGTGCGACATCTTTCCTAGTCAGTTGGTCGGCCGGGCTTTTCTGCACGCAGTGATGGATCTTACTACTTCCTCGATATTGGCTATCATTTGATCAGAATCAGGATTAGGAGCCGTTCCCAATCTGAGCGCACACTTGCTCGAGATTGACGGCTCTCATGGGCCTATCTCACTGGGGCTGCTGCGTTTCTCACCCGATACGTCTCATTCAGGCGAAAACGGGACATAAATACGGATCAGATTTAGGCGCGATTCCTAAGCTCGCGAAAGAGCTCGAACCCACCTCATTTAAGTCTAGCGCAGATCCTCTGCGCGAATTTTATCTCCCTGATTGAAGTAAATTATCTCATGGATTACTGCGTAAAGGCATTGATGCTTCAGAACTCTTTGATCCAAGTGGTAAGTTGAATTATATATATTCGTGTTCCTAATAAGCTAGCCAAGAACGCGACTATATTGGACATTAACGCTTAGGAGTCTCTCCAAGTGTCAGAACCGCCTAGCGTATAGCTGAACTGATTTCCTTCTGCTTCCTCTTTACTTGCGAAGTAGTTCTCGTGTGATAGACCTACTATCGGCGTCTCTAGCACCGAGCCAGAAATTCAATATATTTAGAAACGGTTATCTTTTCTGTGTCCTGTGCAGAACTGCGCTCCTACTTACATGGTTGCAAGCCCGCTTACGATTAAAACATATCTTCGAGCCGCGGCGCAGTGCCATTATCGCTGAGTATGAGCACTTACCTAACCGCTATGGCTGGAATAACTGAGTAGCGTTTGGTGAAGGAAGTGGTTTCGCGTGGTCGATTTCGCCCCCGTTTTGGACGAGGGAGGGTGCCGGTTGGCGTAACCCTGACCCCGGATTATGTTTTGAAGGGTCACATTTCGCGCAGGCTTGCCCATGCAAAGAATTATCTGGAGGACCGCAACAGCTCATCGGTGTATTTTGCAGTGTTCATGGAGCACTTAGGGTTCAACAGTCCTGGGGGTTCAGGGTTTAACGTCATGGAGCTCTGCTGGGATGCACGGCCCGCCAGCACAGCAACCTCACCGGCAGCCAGCCAATGTACGCCATCCGTGACAGCGCTGTCCTTCGAGAACTTCGACGAGGAACTCTGGTACCCCGGAACGGCGTGCTCATCTGCAAGCAGCATTCGACGAGGTTGCAGAAGGTCGATGCGCATCCGCGGAAACACCATGCGATCAGAGGCAGCGACAGGCGTGGGCTTGTACGGTTCTGCAGTCGCTATTGTATTGCGGCATTGTCGGCTATCGCGCTAAGCTTTGATCGCAGAGCTTGGAGAACCGCTAGACGGGTTCCAGTGCTGATGGAGCAGCAGTTGCCCCTTGATCACAGTTATCCTCGCTGAGAGCGTAAGGAGAGAGACGGATGTTGGGGATGTTGGATGCTAGATGATGATGCGCAGAGGGCGGTGTCGATTGGGGTTAGGTATGTCACGTAAACGATTATAGTGCTGATGGATGGGCATACACGTGCTCGTTCCGGGGGAACAGGTGTCACTTCTACGATTGGTTGATGTCGCTAATGATGACCGTGAAAAATTCGTTGTTAATCTCGCACTCTTCACAGCTCTGTTCCATCGATTGGGAAGCTCATGAGCTTGCCATGCAATGCCATACCCTATCATATCAGGTCAAAGCCGTCACTTCGTCAACATATTAGAACCAAGAGGTTCCACGCGCAATGATCCTATTTCAATTTCTATCCTGAAAACCTCTGTCTATTACTATCACCTTGCCAGAAAGAAACCCCCTTAACAACACATCTTGATCGTCACCTCATTCAAGATTTGGTCCACCATACCGATACCATCCCAGGTAAAACACCCGATGATCCATTATTTGAGCAAGGAGCTCAACATGTCCCAGAAGAACTTCCCAGCCTAGCCACGGACTCAGCTCTGCCCAAGTAAACACCAGTAGGAGCGCGCTTGCTTTCATCTCCCTACTTCCCAACGTTAACGATACCCCTGAAACCGGTATCGCCCTTCATAGTGTCCCAGGGCTAATGTTGGCAAATCTCCCCCAGGTTGTCCTGGCCACCACAGCAGTAGTACATACCCTCTGCAACAGCCGGCGCGATGTCGGTGTGCGATATATACATGCATTACTGCTCTTTCTGTGATAAGTACTCGATAATGCAGCCCTTCGGAAGACGTTCCAAACTTTGACTGTCTATGACTTCGATGGGAAAGGGGTCCGACATCGACAGTCTCCCATCGACTAGCGCCATGAGGGAAGGTTCCATAGCTCTGCTAAGGTCCGTTAAATATGGACCTTGGTGCTGTCCAAGAAGTTCCGAAAAGGCTTTAAGTCTTTTCTCGGTCATGCTTAGCAGCCTGTATTTGTCAATATAACTAAATTGGTGAGAAAGCGCGCTTGGTGCCTACGTGAAATCATTGAAGTTGAATTCAGATTCGTTCGACCCTGACGGCAGTAGTGCGAGGACCCCAAAGCCGTAACGGTCGGTCCACATGGTTAGTATATTGGCGAGCCGTCGCAGCTGCGACACATGTCTGCGAGTCTTCTGATATTGCGGAGTTCCATTTGCCGGCCCCGGCAATATCATCCCTAAAACTTCTTCTGTCAAGTTCGCTTGAGCCCTGTTCACTGGATTACCAGGCATGGCCCGTTGACCTGTGATGTGTGTTGATGGGGTCTGGACAATCAGCCCATGTTCCCGGAAGAGACTATCTTGTACTGTCTTGAACAACTGTATAACGTGGTATCGTCGCAGCAAGACGCATAGAGCTTCTTGATTGCCAAGTCGACAGATCTCGGCGTATATTTCCCGGGGTCGCAGAGTAGCTGTAACAATGTAGGAAAAGATGTGCGACAGGTTTCGAGCCGTGTGGAGCATGGCTCTGAAATTCAGAAGGGTTTGAGAACTGCCAATTGTTAAATAGAATAAGCGCAATCTAGGAAGATGAGGGCTGTTTGGTTCAACAGCGCTGATTCCAGGATGGTCTAGAAGTACTTCCGAGCCACTTCGAATCTGAGACGAGAGCGCATTTGACTTTTCTAATTCCTCTTCAAGAAGACGTTGATGTAGTGTGGACTCATCACGCCCATCATGTTGGTGACTGCGGGCCTTCTTTTGGGTTTTTCTCATCTTTGCGACCGGTTGAATACCGTACTCCACGTCGATAGAGCCTCGTTTCGCAGCCGTCACATCTTTTTCTCCCAATGAAGTCATGATATTTGGGTCGCCAGCGATCTCATACATGCCTGGGAGGTCGAAGCAGTCCCATATGTTTTCAGTGGCGTCTGTTCCGAAATCAAAGTTACTGAGGTCTTGAGCGAAGTCTGTAGTTGTGTGAGCAAATCTCCCGCTATTCTAAATTGTTAGTCTCACTTGAACTATTATTGATGAAAACAGTGTCATACGGCTGAGCCTGGTCATGCGCCAGATCGTCGCTGTACTGGCTCCACATCCCGCTGCTAAGAGCTATATAATGCGATTCGATATCACCACCATCCTGCACCTGCTGAAAATGGTGTGAGAGTGGGGCATTCAACTGGGCATCCGTTGAGAAAGATGTCAAGGGAGTACTAGTGTTTTCCACTTGAGTTAGAACGAGCTCCAGTTTGCATAATATGGCATAAGTTTGCTCAACAATGGTCGGAAAGCCTCCATTCTGGGTTTGGAGATCCAACCAGATGGCACCAAGTATAGCGCTTAGTGCGGTTGCTAGAACATCAGTGGAAGGCGCTTGATCCCTCTGTCGAACACTCTGGGTTAGTTGCTGATCTATCCCCAACGTGCAGCAAACACTGGCTCGTTTCCGTTTGTTTTTGAACCAGTGATTTTGGATGTTGGCGTCCTCTGTGACTCTTAGCCGAGGAACCTGAACGTCAAGGGTCTAAGCCTACTGCTAGTTCCATTCTTCATAACGATAGTCCGATATGTCTCAATCATGTCCACCGCACACATTCCCAGCTTGGCTAGTCCCCTGTTACCATCATCCGAGGTTCCATCTATATCGCTCCGATGGGCTGCTGTAAGAGCCACACGGAGACGGTCAGGGAGAGCAAATTGGTATCCAATCTGCGCTTGAACAGTTTTGATCTCCATATTGCGTGTTGGGAAAGCAAGAATCTGTGTATATTTTCCAAATGTTATCGTGGATAACTTCTTCGATGACTTTTTATAAGGCACAGGATGGGGCCTTCCAGGCTGCAAGTTCACCTCTGCCATATTCATTTGGCAAGATTTGAACCTGTCCATATTCACAAGATCTGGTCGGGTCCCACATCGTCACGCACAAGATCGGCCCACTCGTGGATGTCCTTGAATACCGAAGCGAATCAAAAACCATTCTCGACCACAGTACCCTGAGTGCTGACAGGACCATCAAAAGTCTGATGCCTGATCAAGCAACGTGCATCGAGTTTTCCTCGCTGATCATTCTGCTCGAGATGATTCGATTGCTGCCTACTATCAGTTGAAGGACCTTCCGACTTGCATTATCTGGGAGCGTGCAATCTTGAATAATTTGTTGAGGTATCCCTTCTGTCCGTGTCCATACATAGTCTTTCGTCATATCTGGACCATAGTCACATGAAGCAAATCTAGGTCACAACTGGTAACATATTGCAACCCATGATGATATGCGAGAATTTTCCGCTCCACGCAGAGTAACTTGCCAAAAATGGAGATTGACTGATTGTTCTACTCGCGTCTCCGGAAAATGTAAAAGAGACCCTGCGCAGAAGCGGAAGCGAGGGTCAAGTTTCAACCGCTCCAATAGCGATGGCCCAATATCGCAGCCTGATTTCCAGTGGCAAAACTCGTATGATTATATTCCGACAAATAGTTGCAACATATATTCGATTCAGTGACAAGATGTGTTAACGCGACCGCCGACACAGAAAATCGCGCGAAATGTCACGGGTGCACGTGAAATGAAGGGTTAAGGCTGAGCTGTCCTGAACACGATCATATGACCTGGTCATCACCCGGTTGAGGCACATGTCGCAATCGGGGAAGGTTTCCTATGATGGAATGGAGAAAGGAGGATGATCATTTCCGTCTAGGGGAGGTTCCTTCCTTCAGGAAAAGAGAACCTTCCTCATATGAGCAAATAAAACGGTATTGGAAATAAAAAACCGGAGATGGAATCTCGGGTTTCACAGATATCCTTCGTGCGGGGTTATCGGAACTCAAACCTAGCCGCGGCGGTCTCAGCATTTGATACCACATAACATCATAATCACACAGATCCTAAGAGGACTTGAAGGGATTTGCAGTCACCGTCCGTGCTTTCTACACTGCAGCGTGGCAAATGAAAAGGTCCATTTCTCTCTTTGTCCTGGTCGCCTTTATTTCCTTCCCCTAAAAATTGGGTGAAAATACTTGGATCACATCTAGGACTTCGCAACGGGTTTCACTCGTGCCACCATTACGTCGCTCTCTACATAATCGCACCCAGCGGAATAGTCCAATATTCCGACCTACAGACTCCTGCAATTAATATGTTCGCGTCAAAAGGCCGCTTATCAACCTTGCTCTTGCGCCGGTGGCACAGGATGCTGGGTCTCCCTCGCCAGTCACCTCCTCGTTGGTATCGAGATCGGCTTCGAGAGGAGCTATACGAACGCCGTTCAGCGACAACACATTGGGGCAAAGTCAGTGAGACATCCGACGTTCTCTTTTCCATCAGTCGTGCTCTGTATGATGGGGTTCCGACGCGCCAACTCCCCGCGCTCTCGCGCCATATTCCTGCATATATGTATATGGTAGCTAAGTATACCTTGCGCTGGAAATTCTATCGTGTGGCGGGCGGCATGTGTCACGCACCGTGTCGCGAATCAATTCGCGAGGTCATCAATCCTGACAGGGACCATAAGCTCCTCGAAGTAGCGTTGCGTCACGATATCGACCCGGTATCTTTCAAACTCGCCGCCAAGAGGCTCCGACGATTCTGGCCTCTTCTCCCTTAGATTGGCCTGCATAGACTATCACGGTCGGTTGCACGGCGGAAAGAGACTTCTCTATGCGAATACTCGAGAGCTACTCTCGAATTTGGGGTTCTTAGGGCAAAACAGCAATTCGTATTGGCCCACCTGGATGATAACAAGCCACCAATCAATTACATGTCACGTGCCAAAAGGCAACCCGCACGATCTATATCTACAAGCTGGGGCATTGCACAGCTGTTCTCCATCGACTCAATTTGATCCTGTTCTCAGATCGAAGGCACTTGACTGTCACTTTGTAAAATTCTTGAGACACTTTCAAACTCGCTCTAATGTCTGTCCACGAGCAAGAACTCTCAAATCTCCAACAAAGCCATGAGGCTAGTCATGAATCGAAGCAATCTCAGGGTACCGACGAGCTCAATTCAGTCGAAAGACCAATTATCGTCGGCATATATGGGATCTCGGGCTCTGGAAAAACTTTTCTCATGGACCATTTAAAGCAGGACTTGAGGGAAACTTCATTCCATTTCTATGAAGGTTCGGAGGCGATAGCCAATCTCGTACCTGGAGGCCTCAAAGCCTTTCAGCAGATGGGTGAACTAGAAAAGACGCAGTGGCGTGAACAAGCTATCGACACCATCAGAATTCGGAGCAATGGCGATGGAAAAACGACTGTAGTCACTGGTCACTTCATGCTCTGGCCGGAAGAAGATGAAACCGGGCACAAAGTCTGTACACGGAGCGATCTGGCCGCCTATACGCACATCCTTTATCTCGATATTCCCGTCGAGACCATCGAGCAACGCCGCCGGAACGATGCTTCGAAACCACGCCCCGATACTTCAGTCTCCCATCTACTGAAATGGCAGCAAGCCGAAAAGGCTCAGCTGCAATCGTTATGTCGCCAGCATGGCATCTTGTTCTCAGCTCTGACATCAGATGCCAGTGTAAAGAAGAGAGCATTGGAGCTCATCCGAGACTTCAGAGTTCATACCGAAAATCACAATGAGATCCAAGCTCAGACCAGATTGGATGCGGCTATGGCGTCCTACAGAAGCCCACCTAGTACGATCCTGGTACTAGACGGCGACAAAACACTGACTGCGCAGGACACCGGGCCTTTGTTTTGGCAGAAACTATCGGAAACCGGATCAATGCCCATAAGTGCTCCACTAAAGTCATTGTTTGGTGGCCCAATGGGGTACTCTTACAAAAGTTTTCGACAGGCTATGCTTCTATATGAGGACGCTGTCGACGAGCATACTTACGATGCCATCTGTCAACAGGTAGCTTCCGACGTAGAAGTCCATCTGGAATTCAAGCGCTTGCTGCGGCTGGTAGCGGAGCAAGAGCACCTCGGTGCCGTCGTCGTAAGTTGCGGCCTTCACCGAGTCTGGGAGAAAGTTCTCGGGAAAGAAGGCTTGTCCCAAGGCATACCGATCATCGCGGGCGGAAGACTTTCAGACGGTTTTGTTGTGACAGCAAAAACCAAGGCTGCCGTTGTGAACCGTTTGCAGACGCTACACCACGCATATGTTTGGGCATTCGGCGATAGTCCACTCGATATTCCCATGTTGATGGCAGCGGACGAAGCAATTGTTGTAGTTGGCGATGAGATCACCAGAAGCAGATCGATGGATACGGTCCTCTCTGATATGATAGGCAAGGGCCAATTGAGCGCACGCCAAGTCAATTTGCCTCGTACTGCTTCATCGCGGCTGGACACATCTATGCTGCCGATGATCGACTTGAACAACATAGAGTTCCTCACTGACCTGCTTCGCCGCCATGATCGCTCCGCAAAGCTTGCATTCTATCATGCAACAAACAAGAACGCGGCCAAAGCCATTGCAACCCTGATGCGCGATGCAGCTGTTGCTGGGCCTGCGTTAAGGAGAGCTCATCGTCAGGCGGGCTGGTATCTCTCTCAGGAGTACTTGACTCACATAATCGGAGTGGAGGACTGTCCGATCTCGCACGTCCTAGGGCACGGAGCCACCGGATCCCGGCTCATGGATGAACAGAAGACGACAATTGTGGCAATCATGCGAGCTGGTGAACCCATGGCCTCTGGCGTCAGCGAGGCTTTCTCGCTGGCGATGTACGTGCACGCCAAGTCCCCCAGCGACCTTGCACCCCACCATATTCAAGGCCAAAGCCAGATTTTATTGGTCGACTCCGTCGTAAACAGCGGAAAGACGGTCATCCAGTTTGTACAGCACGTTCGCAATGTTAGCAAATATATTCATATTGTGGTAGTGACTGGGGTTATCCAAGGGAAATGTGTTTCTTCGAGGAGTAAGGTATACCAGGCACTGGAAACGTGTGGGAACGTCAGTCTCGTGGCGCTTCGGATTTCGAGCACAAAGTTTACCGGTAGCGGCACGACTGACACGGGTAACCGTCTTTTCAACACCACCCACATTCTTTAGAGACAGGGGTTGCGAGATGTTGTCATTCCTTTTATCGTTATTTATTTCGCCTTGCATTTACCCTAGTAAATGATACACTCACTTCGTAATATGAGGTGCCCTCTGCGTTCGCAGCGACCGGTTTGATAAGCCTGTTCCCACCCAATGGTTGGAATTTGGTGTAAAAAATGCACCCTCGGAAGATTAGTGGTCCCATGCAGGTTCTTGCAGTCGCAGTCAATTATATGGCATGCCGACCAGCAACACAATCTTGACCCCCCACATCTAAGAGTGCGTCATCGGCATCCTGCAAACTCTCTCGTTGTCCCACATCCAGATGTAACGACGCACTCGGTCTGCGGTCCATGTGACTAGTGTCCCGTCCCATACACTGAATATCGCATCGCCGCACGGTTTTACACGGATGTGGGTATAATTGTGCGGTATGGGATGGGCAACATTGCATGGAGCTCTCATAAACGGCCGTCATTGCTGCTAGCGGCATGTTACGATCACAAAGAAGCACGACAGAGAATCGGCAATGGATGGCGCAACAATGAATATGGCTGGTAAAGGACAAAGAGCCAACGACAGCGACGCGACGCCGCTCGGAACGAGCGAACACCGACATCGCGTGACGAGACCCCGCAGAGGCGAGGACTTGGCGGGACCTCAGGTTCACGTGACGAGACCCGGCATAAAACGAGACCCCTAGGGACCCAGCTGGGTCCCGGGACCTCGAGGACTTGGCGGGACCTCGACGAGGGATCGGAAGACAGTGAGGGATGGGACGACTGGTATTTAGTTGAGGACATTCTCTGAACAGTTCCTATTCTTCGTAGTCAACTTCGAAAGCTTACTTTCATATCTAAATTGAAGCCACTCGTCTTTATACGAACTATTAGTCTTCTCTTGATATTTGTTGCATTGTATTATCGTAGAGTGTAGGATATTCACCCAACCCCTTTGGTACCGCCATCCCTCACGCTCGAATCACTGAATACCCGCAAGGTCTGAACCTACGGTCAGGTACGTGGAAACCCCTTGTAACACGGCACAATCCTGACCGGGAATTTCAACTACCCGACTCACAAGATATCAACATGCCGCCCAAGAAAAGCAAACAAGTTCCGAAATGGTCGATGCATCCGCAACTTCACGGCGACGTGTCGCGGCTACTCGCAGAAGACGAGCTACATCTGTCTTTCTATCCAAACGATTCAACGTCTCAATGCCTGAAAGACTACGACACCAACATCATGGGCCGGTTTTCTTGCCGAAACGAAGCATGCACAGCTTCTGGATGGTCCAGCAAGAAGATTGCGACCACGATCAGATTGTACTCGGGTGGTCGATACAACGCTAGAGTATACCACCAGCGGTGCCAGCAGTGCAACAGTCTTAGTCAACCCTGGCTGGACGACTCATACGCTGAAAGGATAGCGTACCGTTTGAAAAAGTGGCACGGCGTGGAGATGGAGGCGCCAGAGTATAGGAGAAAGAATGTGAAGCCGCATCACCGGGCGTTGTGTGAGGGGTGCAAAGCCGGACATTGCAGTGAAAGTTAATGGCTATCGAGGTAAGTCAAGTCCTGGTTACAACATATAGTTGTATTGAGATACATGTATAGCTACATAGGCGTCATGGTATTACCCAAGTGCCCAGGTAGACTGATTCACCAGGATATGTCGGACAGATTGGAAGGCAGGCCGAATTGAGTCACAAGAGGACCGCTCCCCGTTATAAACAGGTATAGCTCCCAATCATTAACATCTTTGTCCTAAAACATTAATCGCAAATCCACTCTGCCCCCATTCCAGTTTCTCGGTCGCTGGTTGGCGACGCTTCGCTTTCGAGATGGTCTGTGCATCGTCTCACCAAAACGCTACCTACGCGAGCTTCTGCAGGGTTTACTTATCTCTAGTGTAATTGAAGCGCATAGTCGGTGCATTTAACCACTACTTTATTTAGAAGATGTCATTCTTACAGTAGTGACATTTCTTATGAACGTTGTAGCTTGGAATTCTCGTAGCTGCGAGCCTCCCTAGGAAGGTGTTGTAAGGGAGCACGCTATAAGTAAGGGTTGATTTACCGCCTAGCCAATGTCTGTAACGGTTGGCATCGAGCGTAGTCTTTTGACTACGTGCATGCGCCCAGTAGCTATGGCGTTCTGCATCCCACTCTGTGCTGTCTTTGTGTGTGACAGCCCTCGTGCTTGGAAGGTCTCTAGGTCTTCGAGTAGATCCACCTTCTGGGCTGACCTCGCTGACGAACGGCTCCATCGCCACCTACCGGCGATACCGATAGTGACGATTCGGATTTGCTCTTACATTTTGAATGGATGGCTTGGTCCCTCAAAGCAAAGAGAGCGCGTTATCGTAGATACGAAGCGGACCGGGAAACATATCGGAAGTAAGTGTAGAAGGAGAAGGTAATCCATGGCCTGCAATTTTGCACACGAGGTTGTGCTGACTCGAGTCTGAACATGTTGGGGTGCCACGTAGCATTACGATTGGTGTACAGTAACATCTTGCCATGTGTATCTTGGCAACCAAAACCAAGATTTCCATGTAGGCAAGGCGGCAATAATGTATGAAGATCAAGATCAATGGAGTCGGCTTGAACATGCTCGATCCGACCTGCGTACAGGTCGGAATTCGATGGGTGCCCTAAGGTCCAGCAAGAGGATTCGCTACCACACGCACGTGATGTAATAGATGAGTCACGTCGGAGTATAGTCTGCAGCAAGGGTTTGTTGGCATATGTTCCACGAGCTTCTTTGTGCAACTCAGTGTTATTGGAATATTGTGCTTTCTGGGATAGCCGTACGACGACCGGAGCGAATTGGCAACTCGTGCGAGCGTTACGACTCGCACCGACCTTGTTTCACTGCCATACTGGAACGTGAATGGCACCGAGGCTACAGCTTTAACTCGGTGTTCCTTGCCTTGAGAAAACGATGAGCAAAGATCAGTGCGTTGGTGCGCTGACGGTAGCTATGCTCGCATGTCAGATGAAGTGTACTAAATTGCTGCTTCCCAACTGCATGTGAAAGGTCGGAATCGTACGAGTAGAAAAAGTTTTTAGATGCAAAATGCATCTTGGTGGTACGCAGAATCTTAGGTAGTAAGGCGATAGTAGTGCTATCTTTATCTCTAGTAAGCGTTTTTAGTATCTCTTTAGGGCTTACAGGCTCTGGCATATCCTCATCTCCTACAGGTAGAGCGTTAGGCTTAGACGGGCTCACTTGCCCTCCATAGTCCTTGGGTATTAACTTAACGTTCTTGAACATGGCCTTGCGCAGGTCTTTGGTGGAGCTTATACCCTACGCCGTCTCTTATCAGTCTTCTAGACCTTCTTTGAGAACTACTTCGCCTACGAAGTGGCTATAGACGCGTTTACACTATATTGCGTCCTTAGTAACACTAATGCGCTCAAAGGCTGGCCTGTGCTAGCCAGTAACAGAGTCCTTAACTTTAGTGGGTGGTGTGAGCGGCTCTTCCTTAAGTGAGTTAGTCACACTTAGTGCATCATCCTCATCGCTCTCTCTGTCATACTTGTCCACACCTAGGCCCTATGCTTCCCTATGACGTTATACGTGGTCACGGGCAGATGTGATGGCCTTGTCAGCGTCGGCCTGCGAGGAGAGCGGGATGAGCGCGACGTTAGTGATCTTATAGCTAGGCTTGCTGCGTATCTGCGCCACCTGCTCGCAGTCGCATATCGAAATAAGGAAATATGAAGTCGCGATTTTGAGCAGGCCTATCGCGTCAGCCATTTCTGTTTACAAGAGCGCTGCATCCCCTACCTATGATGCCGTGCACCTCCAGCGTGCCCGGAGCCATTTCCTCCTGGCGGCGGTCCTTGAGTAGTGGTCCGACATTGCCCTTATAGTCAATCTTGATGGCCTACTATGTTTTCAGCGGGTAGTTGCGCGACGGGGTGGGCTGCAACACCAGCGCCCGTCTACAGCAGCAAAGATGAGCAGCTTGCAAACCAGGCCGGGCATTGTAGCAGAAGAAGTGCGATCAGGGGAGTATTCACGGACACGCGAAGCATGCATGCGCATCTTTGCCGCCCCTACGATGGAGGGGCAGCTGCTGTGGGGGAGTGACCATGACGTCTTTTTGCGGCTACCCTAGACCTGCCTGGGCACGCGTTCAGATGCAGACACGGCGTTAACTTCTCATACTGCACTCGACAATGGAACATTCGGAGCAGCGCCATGGACACCTACCGCAGAGATGCCTGTAGCGACTTGTACTGCTTTGAAAAAAAGGCTACTACGAACTACGATAAGCTAAAAGGTAAGCGAAAGGGGGAAAACCTAAACAAACCAGTAGAGGAGGTAGGGAAGGAAGAAGAAGAAAAACAAAAAAAAAAAAAAAAAAAAAAAAAAGAAGGAAAGAATTTCCTCACCTAAAGCTTGATGTATCGCATCATGGGTTGAGTATCCCCGGGTATTCGGACAGCCAAAGTGCCCCTGCGAAATCGCATAGCCAACTGTCTTCCCTTGTTCAGACTTGCTGACCTTTCTTGTTTTATCATCGTTACGGCTCAGCGTCACTGCAACTCCGAATGTCAAATCTCAGCCTTGCCTCAACCCTTGAGCTAGGTGCGGCAGGCACGGAAAGTTTGCACTCGATCCAAAGCATACGTATAGAAAAAACTTCGCCTAACAAAACTAGAAACACAGTTCTGCTCAATAACTTCCTTCAACAGGCATGTGCAAAGGAAATCTAAGACCGGTGACCAACACGCTGGTTTTTGTGTTATGAGATCCAGGGCGAAGACTCTCCTGCGTTCGTAGATGGTGCAAGCATGGTCGGTCTAATGGAGATTCGCGGAGAAGCTGCATTTAGCTGCCAAGAATGACCCCCGCATCTGAGCAGCCATCTTCGTAGTCCCCACCTTCACCTTCAACAATTCAAGGCCTCATATTGCGCGGCTTTTCGTCTCAGAGCAGTCCTTTCCCATCATGCCGGAGTTCTCAACACTATTCTATCACCAGAAATCGCTAGGGTCGCTATGTCCGTCTCTCACGAAACTCCTCAATAGACTACAATGGGATGCAAAACACTAGCATCAGCTATACTTCTTGAGTGGAACAACAAAAACGCTTTTGTCATTTGTCCCTTCCCTGCTTGTCAAAAGCTCCACACCCATGGGTCCAACCGGGCCCCCGAAGGTTATCCAAATCGCCGACTTTCACATTGCGACAAATTGCGACAAATTGCAACAAGAGTACCAGCTAGTCTGGCCATTTGAAGCAGGCAGTGTCGCCGAAGAGTTAGACCTGGGATTCCAATTGGATAGAGATGCTGGTATTTGGCGGACAATCGGAGATATAGAAGACCCCAGCACAAATGAGATTCTCGAAGTATTAGCGAGAGGAGCAATACAAGGCCAGACTAGTGAAGAGGATCTATCCATATCTCTAGACCGCTTGGCGCTTAACGAAGAAGAATACGCGTGGTTTGTATGTCACTGTGTCAACGGTGATATCAAACAAGCTGCACTTTGCTTGAAGGGCTTAGATTCGATTGAGACATGTCTAAGAAAAAAGAATTCCGACGGGAATACTGCGTTGGCTTTAGCCTGCGTGGAAGGACACTACGATATGGTCGTATACCTAGTGGAGCAAGGATCTCTGATTAACTCCGTGAACGATAGAGGAGAGGCTCCGTTGATTATATCACTGGAATACGGTCGAATTGAGGTCGCAACTTACTTGATTCGCCATGGTGCCTCAATCTCGAGTCGTGATGGGTGTGGAGTGTCACGAGAGCAACGAGCAAGATGTCTGAGGCCCAGGTAGGCTAGATCAATATACTGCGTTCGGTATCTACGTGTAGGTACAAGACGTTGGATAAGGAGAAAAGGTCCT